ACCGTCATTTTTGAGTCCCGAAATCATGTTTACTGCAGCGATAGCAAGAAAGATAGTTAGATACAAGAAGATAGATAGATAAATTCACCGGCGCCATTAAGCGCTGAAGATAGATAGATAGCACACTATCACTATTGGTCGAAAAATCGCGCTTGTGTTTTATTGGAGAAAAATCCTAATGGACTCTTGAAACTACGGTGGTTTGATGAAGAGAATTTGATTCACTAGCTATCTTTTAGGGTTTCTGTCCACAATATTTTCGCAATTTTTGCGAGCGAACAAAATGCGAAAATGAAGCGAAAAGGTCGAAAAAAAAAATCGCGAAACGATTTTTCCTTTCTGCTGGAAACCAGCTAGTTACGTATATATTATAATAAAAATCCTCTATGTAGTTGACCAGATCTCAGCGCCGATCTTCAAATGAAAATAAAATCATAATTCAGCAATGGTTCATCCTACACTCAAATTCATTTTTGGAACAATTACCATTGATGGTTCAAATAAAAAATTGGGATTACGTAAACCATTTTTTTGTATTTCTAACAAATTATTGATTCTAATCCATGCATTTTTAGTCTTTAGTTCAAGCTGTTGCTACACTTTTTGTTTGTTTGTTTAGTTCAAGTAATGTGGACAATTTCAAGCTAAACTGACAGGATTCAATAAATGTTAATTTTCTTAATTTCTTCCATCCATTACCGAAGGAATTACAAAAGAAAATAAAAATTACGTAATCTACAGGTTGCATGGGATTAAGTTTAATAAATAAATACTAGTATTTCTTGTTGTACTAGTATTATTTTACATTAAACTAATTCCCAGCAGTAAGATTTACAATCATGAGCATGATATTTTGTTATATTAAGCTATACGGCTTAGAATATATATAGTGGATTGTAGAGTAAAGATTTAGAGCAAGGAGTATGGAATAGAAGGGAGATATAATTGACGCGGCCTGCCCTACCATATGATTATACATGCTTTCCAGACGGTACTAGTTTTGTATAAGAAATATTTGTCTGATGTACAATTACCGCGTAAAGAATAACCTATTCTTAATATCTTTTTTATACATAATATAAATTATAAATTATTATATTTTAAATGTAGTACCCGTCTGCAATGCATGTATAATCATATTGTAGGGCGGGCCGCATCAGTTGTATCTCACTTCTATTTCATACTTCTTGGTTTAGAGTTTTTGAATACATCTTTTATCAAAGAAACTGAGTTCTTCCCACAGGACAGTTTGATGATAAAGGATATAAAGATATTATGGCGTATTCCTGGAGTACAAAAATCAAATATGCAGAACGCATTCGGAGTACAAGTGCATGGGGAGGTTTTGTATCTTAAACTATTTTTATTAAATTATTATTGTTTTCTCAGAACCGGTTGTTAACCATTAAATATTGCCCTGTAAAAGACCTTAATAGTACGTCTTCTTGTGAAAATGTAATCCTCTCTATAAACGGAAAAAAAACAGTTGAAATTCTGTCTAAGTTTTATTGAGTTTTTTTTTATTGAAAACACACATCTACTGAAATGAAAATAAACATTTTCAGAATTACAGAGTACTGTAATATATAGATTGATCTTTGAAAGTGGAGTATTCAAGGCCTGTACATGAGTAGTAAAGGATTAGCGTACATCATCACTCTATATACTATAACCTCGTTGGAAATAACATAGTTGCATCAGGTTGCAAAGATGTTTGGATCAGAAAATACATCTCAAACTCTATCTATCTATCTCTATGTAAACTTTGCTTGGGTGTCTATTTGTATCCAATAAACGTCAAAACGACTAAACCGATCAAGCCCAAATTTTGTGTGGGACCTCGCGTGACCCCAGTGAAGGTCTATGAATGATCGAATTTTAAAAAATTAGCTTCGAACAGAATTCGATTTTTGAAAATCTTGAAAATCCACGATTTTTTTTTAAATCCGAAAATTTTTTTGTTTTGTTTTTGTTTTACAATGTATACAAAGATCAAATGTTTGCAATTGAAATAGAAGCCTATTTCTATTCTATTTCTAATTAAACTAATATTTATGAAATATGAAAATTAAACTGTTAATGGGTTTGTACTTGTTAAGTGCTTGTTAAGAGATTCGAAAGAAGTAGGCGAGGGGTGGGGGTAGTTCAGGGAGTGAATACACTATGGGGGGAGGGAGTAGTTCAGGGAGTGAATGCACTACGGGGGGAGGGGTTTTAAGCCACAATAGATTAAGTGTACTTTCATTTCATATTTGTTATTTATTTTTTAACCTAAATTCTAAATAATGAATTTGTTTCCCCTGATTTTCGTTCGTTTCTCTAATAAATAATTTTGTCCTTTTTTAGGGTTTTAATTTTAGTAAAAGAATAAAAATTGTTATGAGTTAAATTAATTTTTCTAAACTTTTCTCCTTAAGATAAGGAATTTCGAAAACACCAAATATTTTTACACATTTGAAGTTTTTTGATGAAATAACTAACCTAAACAAATTAAAAAAATAATACAATCTATACTTAGACTGTAAACATTGGATGTTTGCACACTTTTTTAATTATAAAATTCTGCAAAGGGTACAATGTTACAATAATAAATATTAAGTTAAAACTACAGTGTTAGTAAACTTACAACGAAAACCCGCAAGAAAATGATATACCCAAAGAGAATAGAATATATATTAGAGGGGAATTTACTAGAAAAAAGTGTAAAACGGCCATTTTGTTGTACTGTTTCCATACTGCAGGTGCACTTCACATATTTATGCTATATAACCTTTCAGGCCCTGGAATATCATTTTATATAAAATCTCAAATTAAAATGAACCAAATTATGAAATAGGCTGGTTTTATAATTGACCAATGCCTTTCACTTTACAAACGATGATTATCCGTAATAACTATAAATCAAATGATGTTTTTTATTCACCTAATTCATTATCAAGTTTAATTAACAGCTTTAAAAAATTCGAAATTGAAATGGATAGTCTAGGGAACATACTGTATTAATGTACTCAACTGCATATAATTTGTGAACGTTTACGTGATTTGTACACTTTTCAGGCTGAAAGGGACTGAAAAATTCATACCGAGAGATTCTCTAAATTCCCCTCTAATATCTGTTCTATTCTTTTTGGAAATACCGCTAAAAATGGTGTTATTTGTATTTATTTTAAATGCTTAAAAGCACTTAGATATTCTTTAAAAGAGCTAAAAATATAAAAAGTGGAATGTCTAATTAAAATAAAGTGTTTTCATTATTTTTTCCCTATTGAATAAAAATCATTAAACTAGTCGAGGACCTGAACACTCGCAACAAAATCCAATTTTCTAATCCTTTTACGTTTGATATTTAATAATTTTGTCTCTGATTATTTGTTCTATTTTTAATATTATATTAACTATTACATACAAAAGTAAATAGAAGTTAGGATTCAATCCTGTTAAAAGGACAGTTTTCTCGAAAAAAAATAATTCCGCCCTGCACTGTTTTGGTTGGCATCTCCCTATCGGTATCAGGTTGCAAAGATTTGGTTATTAAAATTAGAATTTGTGACGTGTTTTCAGTTCCTTCAATTGTAGATCTGAGGATTCTAAAAACGAAAATCTATCAATTATAAAAGTAAGAGAAATCTAAAACTTGTATCTCTAATTCAAACACGAATAAAATTGAAAATCAATGTGTAATCAGCATGCTAAGGATTAACCAAAAAACTTCTTGCTCCAACAAAAACTTATCTGTTGAAAAATAAGGGACGCTTTGATGAAATGGTACCCCGTTAAAATCACTTGGATATGTTAAGTATGCTGTCTGTAAGTCTCTAAAAGCCTTAAAAGTAAATCCGACTTATGGCACTTTTCTGATTGTTGGCGGATTTTCGCGGATTTTCGCGGATTTTCCCATATTTCAATTTTTTGAAGTTACAACTGTTAATAACTTTTTTCTGACTGTTTCACAGAAAAATCAAAAACATCAGTAAAAAAAGCGTAAAAATAAGCAAAAAGAGAAAAATTCAGCAAATCCTAAACAACTTTTCATGGTCTGGATCCGGATCAAGATGAATTAAATGGATCCTAAGCACTGTATGTATGTAAATATGCCTTTAGTCCTCTATTTAGCTACTCAGACGGGTAAACTTTCTATAAAAATATATTTTTAAGACAAGTACATTGATAATACCTGAGAGCCTCGAGCGCCATGGTGAACAAGTAGATAAAGTCGAAGGTGGACAGGGAGGCAAGCAACTAAACCAATATAATACGTTATTCAAATATCAACTTAATTTTTTTACCATTTAAAAATACACAAAAGACCCTGTAATTTTAATTTTGCAAAGCTTATTGCGGTTTAGACAAAAAAACTGGTTCTAAGTTTTAAAAAATCTGCGAAAAACATGGGTTTCTAAGTAAACAAAAGTGTTTGGTCATTTTACCTATTTTAATAGGTTTTGTTGTGATTCAAAATTCGAAAATGAGTGTTTTATGTTCAAATACACGAACAATCCCTTTAAAGGGACTGTAAAGGAAAAATGAAAGGGGGTGTAGGCTGAAAGCTATTCACTTTAGCTCTTGATCGCGACCCATGAAAGTCATATCTGATGTTCCTATCTCGAGAAATTGATATACAACGTTGTCAAATTTATACGAAAATTAATATATATACAATTTTGTATAAAAGTAGTAGATTTAAAAAGATCAAATTCAACAAATAAGCAACCAATCTGAAAACGATGATATCCCAGAGAAAGCTAATTGTAAATTAGATTTACTGTTATATTTTTTATTTCTATTTTTAATAGATTTCATTCATAATATTATTTATACGTCCGTATTACTTGACCAGAAATTCCACCAATGGCAGTGCAGTAAAGTGGTCACGTGATACAGAAGGAGACACGTGATCAGTACACTGCTCTGCCATTGGTGATAGTTCTGGTCACGTGATTTAAGTTTAAGATTTTATCAATTTTTCATTTTTCCTTTTCAGTCCCTTTAAGGGGATCTCTACGCCGCATATACCCATTGTAGATCCTATCTGATAAACGATAAATTTGTTTTAATCTTGAAGGTATTGTTTCCTGGTTGAAGGAGTTCTTAAGTTCCTTCCTGCTCAGAAGAAATATAGAGAACATGTTTCCAATCATACCTGCAATATATATATTACTTAAACATGTATGTTGTACATACAGACTTCACCCCACTCTACAAGTTGCATAATCCGAGCCGGTGCAAAATGTACTGTATATGCACTCAGAGCCCAAAACTTAAGACAGGGTATGGTAATGAAAACCAGTTTTGAAACCCAGGTTTCGCGAATGGGGTTAAGCAGTTTTGTGGATATCAATATTTTTGTTGTGAAATATTATTTTATTTATTTTCTTTATAATCTCCATTTTTTTAAATCTCTTAAATCAAAATATGCACAAATGCTTAGACCCCAAAAAGGAAACTCGAGAGTTTCGTTCAACGACACTCTTATAAATTTCGGGCTCAGTTGTACCGCCCAGTGTAGAGTCGACCCAACACGCTTTTTGCAACAAATGTACTCTGGCAAGATCACAGTGACATATATACCTGTAGTATACATAGATAGTTATACCTTCAGTATATTCAGTTACATGCAGTACATGTAGATATATATACCTGCAGTACATACAGATATATAAATACATGCAATACATAAAAAAATATGTAAATGCACCTGCAGTACATATAAATAGCTATACTTGCAGTACATAAAGATAATTATACCTGCATGTACATAAAGGTTTATAAGTGCAGTACTGTAGTACATATAGATCTTAGACAATAAAGACTGAGAAGCGAATATTTTTACCTACAAATCTAGCTAGATGGACCATACTCCTAATACCAGCCCGGTGTGATAAACAGTACAATAGGTGGCAACAGAGAAATGGATCAATTATACATGACGTCACAAGTGTCAAATATAACAAAGAAAACGAAATTGTCTCACATTATTTGACATGTTTTTCAAGATTAAATAAAAAAGTGTAAAAACAGAAAATAAATAAGACATAAAATTGCACCTTTTTCACTGTAAGATAAGCTCTTTATTCTAAAATTATCACTATTATTAATAATTTTCTCGGACACAATACTGAGTTGACACTTGTGATGTAAGAATACAGCTGTACTGGGAGTGTACAAATACTACGTTGCCATCTATTGTACTTAACAATCTATTTGGTTCCGATATATGGTAATTATGAACGGAATTAACAAATATTGATATATATATATATTTATTTATAATGTTTATTAATCTTTAATATTCTTCAATATTGGTCTTTTATTACATACGTATGTTCTAACTAACTAATGCCATCATCATTTATATCTTGACGAATTTGATAATAATGTAATAACTGTGAAATGATTAATAATTTATTCTATATGCATACATATTACATATATATATTAAAATATGCATGTATGTATTTTATGTGTATTGATACATCGATCTTGTAATGATATAATATATACAAAACAACTGATTTAATTAATGGACAATCAAAATAATAAAAATTGTATTGATAAATATCGTAAACTCTTTCAAAATGTTTCAATCCTGTCCTAAATACTATATGTAAGTATTGTCGTATAAATACATGGTTCCATTAAATTTACATTAATACTTTAATAATACTTGAATGCTTTTAAGAGATAATGATATAAAAGATAAATCTAAATAAACAAAATTGAGATAAATTTATTATCACTGTTGGATCCTCTTACGACTTACATGCATCCATATTTCATATTTTCTGTACTTTTCCAAAAAAAAAAGAAAATTGTGAAAGACTTTTCAAAGAAGTTAAAAATAAATGTTTGGAATTGTTTTGTAAACCGATAAATAAGAAGATATTGAGTAAATATTTAATAAAATGTCAGAAACGATTTCCTAAGAGTTTAACAATAAATACTTTAAGTGTTTCGCTGTGGGCTAAAGCTGTGTACAATTCACCTAGTACACTGAGGGCTAAATCTGAATAGTTTACCTAGTTCACTGTGGGCTAAAGCTGTGCACAATTTACCTAATACTGTTCAGTCTACCTAGTGCACTGTGGGCTAAAGCTGTATAGTTTAGCTAGTTCACTGTAGGCTAAAGGTTTGAAGGGGGTTACCAAATGGGACCGGGTAAGACAATTTTGTAGATATAAGTTTTTTGACTCGTAAATATTTTTTCTTGTTTCTACACAAATGTATAGACCCCCAATCGGGAAACTTGTAAGTTTAATTCAACGATTCTCTCTTAGATTTACAACTCTAGGTCTTTGCAACCTGGTGGGATAGCCTATAGCAGGGGTATCCGTATTTCTACTCCTTAAATATATTAAAATATCTCCCCCTCCGACTCCCCCCCCCCTTACATATTTTGCAAAAAAAAACTTTCAAGTGGTTAAATGATAGTTTTTAAACTTGAAATTTACTTTTTGCTGCAACTTTAAAGATTTCGATTTAAAGTTTATTTTTCAAATTTAACTTTATTCTTTTTTAATCCTTTTATCTTTAAAGTTTTTACAGAAAGATTTAAATTGTTAACTGTTGAGATTCAAGTTTAATAATGTTTAATAAATAGATTTGATATCTTTAAAGGTGACATTAAATGTAAATTTTGCAATATATTTTAGATTATATAATACTTTTAAAGGGAGTGTTTGCGAAAAAAAGCTGATCCCGAATTGCATTCGGTTTTTAGCGTTAGTATTTTTCTTCTATCTACTGGGTGTATTTCGAAAAAATGGTTAAAAACGCCATATACCCAAGAGAGTATAGATTCAAGGAGTTGCATTATTCCAGCCACACCGTAAATAAATCAATTAAATTTTAAACTTATCATTCAGACATTTCAAGTTTGAAATGTCGAGTTCAATTAGGAGCATTCGTGTAGTTTAAAATAAATAAAATATCGAGAAAAAAACACGATCAAAACCGAATTCAATTCGGAATTAGCATATACCCCCTTTCTTTTTTCGCGAACACTCCCTTTAAGATATACCATACATTTAGAGTTGTAGTATATTGAGTACAATTCATTAAATAACCAACAGTACTTTACGTACGCAGATGCCAAGCTGTATAGTTTACCTAGTACACAGATGACAAGCTGTATAGTTCACCTAGTACACAGATGACAAGCTGTATAGTTCACCTAGTACACAGATTACAAGCTGTATAGTTTACCTAGTACACAGATTAAAAGTTGTATAGTTTACCTAGTACACAGATTATAAGCTGAACAGATTACCTAGTACACAGATGGACAAGCTGTATAGTTTACCTATTACTCGGATTACAAGTTGTATAGTTTACCTAGTACACAGATGGACAAGCTGTACAGTTTACCTAGTACACAGATGACAAGCTGTTTAGTTTACCTAGTACACAGATGATAAGTTGTATAGTTTACCTAGTACACGGATTACAAGCTGTACAGTTTATCTAGTACACAGATGACAAGCAGTATAGTTTACCTAGTACACAGATGATAAGCTGTATAGTTTACTTAGTAGACAGATGAAAGCTGTATAGTTTACCTAGTACACAGATGAAAGCTGTATAGTTTACCTAGTACACAGATGAAAGCGGTATAGTTTACCTAGTACACAGATGATAAGCTGTATAGTTTACCTAGTACACAGATTACAAGCTGTATAGTTTACCTAGTACACAGATGACAAGCTGTACAAGCTGTATAGTTTACCTAGTACACAGATGATAAGCTGTATAGTTTACTTAGTACACAGATGACAAGCTGTATAGTTTACCTAGTACACAGATGAAAGCTGTATAGTTTACCTAGTACACAGATGACAAGCTGTATAGTTTACCTAGAACACAGAATACAAGCTGTATAGTGTACCTAGTACACAGATGACAAGCTGTATAGTTTACCTAGTAAACAGATGATAAGCTGTATAGTTTACCTAGTACACAGATGACCAGTTGAATGATCCCCTCCATAATAAGACTGAGGTTCATCAACAGAGCGTCGTCCTGTTTCACATTCAAAACATTTTTTCCGTGTTTGCATTATTTCGAAGCTTTGTGGAAAAATTAAGTAAGTAATTTTTTATTTTTTTATTTTTTCAATTTTTAAAATCATTTTTATTATTTTCTCATTTTATTTCAAGCGTTATTTGCTTTTAGTTTCATATCAATTAAAGGGATAAAGATGTTTTTGTTGTGCCTGAGGTCCTAAAACACAAATAATTAGTTTTTTAATTAGATTCACTCTTTTAATTAACCTTAAATCCATCAAATTTATTCAAAGTAATTTATAAAGATAGTAATTAGCTGGCTTATTGGGAAAAACTAACAATAATAATTAAAAGAAAATTTCTGATAAAAATATAATTTCTAACGAACGAAAATTTTTATTGTTTGAAATCTTTATAATAATGATAATAATAATACTTTTAATCAAGAATGTGCGCGCATTTTAAAATATCAAAGTTTAAAATAGTAAGGTTAAAAGGAATAATCTCTAGTAAAAATGTAGAAAAAGAGGAAACTAAAATTTATATATTAATTTTTGACAACTTGAAAAACTGGTAAAATCAAGAAAATATAAAACTGTCTCACAGAAAACAATAACAAAATGGGGATTAGCGAATTCCTAATAAAATAATTAGTCAAATTTGCAAGCCTTCCTAAAAATTAATACTTTTTGAGATGGTTTTGTCTTTTATTTTGATAGCGCTTCTTTACCAAAGAGACAGTATCAAACTTTGCTCTGATAAGAAATTTTATTTTAAGAATTAGACGAAATAGCACAGAATGTACTTTAAGTGGAAACCCTACATTTTTCCTGTTTTCAAAACTACCAGAGAAATATAAAAATTACGTTTAAAATTAATATCTAATTAACTTGTCTCTCAACTTTCATGTTTTGTGTTTAGTGCAACAAAGATATAAAGGGATACTCGTAAAGGATGAGACTGTAAAGACGACTTGAAACTGATGACGATCCCAAGTTTACATTAAATCTTCTGCCTTTAATGTGGTCTTTAAATGGCTTATTTAATCATTAAGCAGGGAAGCATGATTATAAGGAACCAGACCGTATAAATTCCGTACAGTCGTCTATGAAGTCTCATCCTGTATCAATGGTTCCCGAATTATGAGTGGGGGGAAGGGGGGTTTTTGAAATATTTGGTACTTTTTGCCCTAAAAACTATTTTCCCCCCGAAAATCTCTAAATTTCGAATTGTGTATTGGGTATAAAATGCGAGAGGGTGTAAAGTGACCCACCCACTGCAATATCATTATTAATTCCTATTTCAGTTACATGAACAATACTCTTCCCACGTAAAGGGAGTGACTGGCTAGGCATGGTAGTTGAGCTGAGAATGCAGTTTGGTAAAGAATTTTTTTAGGATTTATTGGTATCATACCTTTTTACAATGCTTTTTTGTTCAGCAAGAGCGCAAATTCAATATTTAAAATCTTCATAGATTGTCTATTTTGGAGGGATCATTTTGAGAATCGATTTTTTAAAAATTATTCAATAACGACGACGAAAAATGCAAAACATGTAAAAAATGTAAACTGTAAGGTCTCAAATGCTTTCTAAAAATTCTCTACAAAACTGCATTCTCAGTTCAACTACCATGTCTAACCAGACACTCCCTTTCAAGCTCTTTATTTGACTGTTTGTTATATTGAATGCAAAAACATATTGTCTAAGCAAAGAGAATGTCAGGAATATAAAAAATAAGTGAGATATCCTTATCAAAATGTCAAAAATCTGTTCATCTATATAATAAAGCTCTTCGCTCATTTTACATTTTAATGTCAGCTGTAGCTGGCCAAACTGTTGGACCGAATCGGCTCGACATTTTTTGAGGGAACCCACGGGTACCCCGGGAGTGACATAGTCTAAAAATAATTGAACATTTCTAAAATTCTACGGGCATCACCGGGCACTCTAGTTAATAATAAAAATAAGCACTTTAGCTAGTTTATTCAAATCTTTCAACAAACTATTCGTTATTTTTAAATGCTTTTTTTAGTTTAATATTACGAACAAAAAGTAAGTGTTACTTTGAAAACAAAATGAAAAAGAATTTAAATTAAAAAATGAAATGTTAAACCTTTTAAAAGAAACAATAATCCGAATTTTCAAAATAGGAATACAATTTAAAGATTTAAGATAAAAAGTAAACCTAGTCCCAGATTTGAAAACAAATATGAACTATCATTCAAAGTTTAAATTTGAAATGAATGACACCTATTAAATTCATAATGAAAAAAGTTTGTGAAAAGTTTAAAAGATTACGGGAAAAGAATTTATATGAAGAAGAAGAAGAAGGAAAGTCGAATCTGTAAATATTTTTACAAAACTAGTTTGTACTTTATCACGCATGGGGACTTCATGGTAAATTTCGTTTTATATAAAGTAATCATATTAAATTAGCTGTATGTTAAAGAACGGTGAGCTACAAAGCCTACATGTTTATTTGATAAATACGACGACGACTGTAGTTAAGTAAATATCACCTGGTATAGGACATTCTAGAGGAGGCGAACTCGAATTGTTCATCGCTTAGAAACCTAGTTTAAAGATTAGCTTTAAAGGACTGTAGGTGTAATTTCAAGTGACCCTCCAAGCAAAGAGGACAATGTTAGATTTACAATGGTACCCTTAACATTTTTCACTGTTCATCGAGTAAAAAGTAAAAAAGCCCTTTGTTTAAATATCTTGAAAGCCACTTGAATCCTTCTATAATTCTGTGTAAGCTGTGCTCAGTTTGATCAGTCGAAAGTCGTAGGTACCTTTGTGAATTTGGTATTGCCATCTCTGCATGGAAAGACACTTGAAATTACGCTGTCTGTCCATTTAAAAACTAAAATAAGAACAAGTATGTTCTAATTTCCTTCATCATTTAAAAATCTTGAATGTAGCGTTCTGAATCGGATATGTCTCATAATATATAGTATACATTTCTAAAAATATGTTTACAAAAGTTTCATAACAAATTAGTATTTTTTTTTTCAAAATAATTGGATTCTTTTGTTGAAAAGATAACATTTTCGAAAAGTGGCACCAGAAGCAATATTAAACCGGAAACAATATTAAATACAAAGTTTGTTTAAATTATAGCTGCTCGTGTTTGATATCTTCATAAAGAGAAACTGAGCCAAAGAAATGATTACTATTATTTTGAATGAATAAACTGAAACTGTATTTAGAACTAAGTAACATTTATAGTGAAAATTTTTAAGATTTGATTTATCTCTTTGATTAAATGTAAAAAACAAGTAAAAAGTTGTAAAAAATACTTCGTTTGAATGTATAGTTTTTAGATTTTGAATAATATGTTGAAGAACCCACTCATTGAATTGATTTTTCAGAGATAAGTTAAAACCGAGAAAAGTAGAAAGTAATTGTGACGTCATAACTTCCCTCCAATTTTTTTTTTGGGGGGGGGGGAAGGGGGGTTTCCTACACAGTTGAACATACTGCTTGACGTTATCTATTCAATAACGCAAGTTTGCCTCTTTTTTGTCACTAAAATTTGTGTGGAACATTTTTTGAAAAGTTTTTTTCTTTTCATTCCCTAAAAGTAACAATTTTCGGACAGAAAACCTTAAACTTGTCAAACTTTCTACAAAACTTGATCCGCCTTTTTCGATTCAAAATACCTGTCAATCTTGTCAAGGTACAATTGAAAATTGGAACCCTTTGTTCAAAAGTTGTAAACTTCCAAATTATCCGAAAATTTGAACAATTCCTTTAGGTTTATGCGTTCAAATTAAATGAATTTATTTCATATTTCTCACAAACTCAAATGCTCAACTTCTAACCCGTATATCTTTGCAACTTGGTGGTGTAAACCTGAAATATTTTAATTTTGGACTATTTGATCCAACAGAGTTCGTAGGTTGAAATATCAGCGGTGTCCAAAGTACCCCACAAAACGACCGTTATATCAGCTGTGTGTCCAAAGTACCCAACAAAACGACCGTTATATCAGCTGTGTGTCCAAAGTACCCAACAAAACGACCGTTATATCAGCGGTGTCCAAAGTTCCCAACAAAACGACCGTCATGAAATCAAATTTAAAAAAAAGAAACCGTAGTTGGATATTAAAAACAGAAATATAGAAGCTCCTCAATATTTAGCAGAAATATCATATTTTACATGATTTTTTTATTCATTTTTTTAAAGCAATGCCACACAACATAATATTGTAATAAAATGATTTCATCGATTACTTTCATACTAATTCTCCTATTTTTCATTTTCTTGTAAGAGGTATGCAAAATATTAGAACTTTACAGTTAAAAGTTTTGTAATATCATTCATGTATGAGAACTTGAAAACAAATTTAATATTTCAGAGCTAAGGTTATATTTATATTTCTCATAAATAGGTCTGCAGAATTATGTTTCATCGCTTCACTCTTGGAAAATAAGAATTTTTTTGTTTTTACGCAAATTTAAAAACTGTTGTAGTATCTACGCGAACATGCATTCACTTAAATGTTAGACTCTCTCTAATGGAGTATCTATCTATCTATCTATCTATACACTGTAGTATTTAAAGCATGGTGTAATATTTAGAATATGACCAGATACAAAAACCCCTCAACCCTTTGCCCAAATCCAAGCCGAGTAGAGAACCTGGAGAAAAGGAACAGTGCACTCCAGGACCTTATACAGGATGGACTTTAGAGCTTTGCTCCGTTTATCCAACTAAGGCCTGGTGACTTGAACTTCATGGACAGCTCTCAGACTGGTATATCTTCATCAGAGGACTAAGGAGGGTACCAGCCTCCTTCCCCATCCTTCAACATAAATATACATCCTCGGAATCCTCAGCAACACTAACGATATCAGAGGGCTCTCTTTACTCTCCAGCTTGTTCTCGGACAGAACCACTGGAAACACAGAGCAGCTAAAGGATCCAGTCTTTCTTCTCTAGCTGGATGTATGAACAGAGTTACTGGGGCCTTAGAGCAGCTAAAGTGTTTAAAGGACATGCAGAAGCTCCATATTCTCGAGTTGGTTCTATTGACAGGGACACCCAAGATACAGAGCAACCAGGACCTCTAGGACATATAGAAGCTCTATAATCTCGAGCTGGTCCTCTAGGCAGAGACACTGGAGATATAGAGCAACCAGGACCTCTAGGTCATGCAGAAGTTCCATATTCTTGAGCTGGTTCTCTTGACAGAGACACCCGAGATATGGAGCAGCTACAATACCGATATTGACCAATGACTCCAGGCGAAGAAGTGATCATGACGATCTACGAGGACGGGATTTATTGTCCTCCAGACATGATTGAGAAACCAGTAGATCTAGAGATAAAAGGATCTGGTACAAGGAGTATGAAATAGAAGGGAGATACAACTAACGCGGACCGACCTACCATATGATTATACATGCTTTCCAGACGGTACTACATTTGTATAAGAAATATTTGTCTGATATGCAATTATCGCGTATACAATAACCTATTCTGAATATTTCTTATACAAATGGGGAACCCGTCTGCAAAGCATGCATAATCATATGGAAGGGCTGGCCGCGTCAGGTGTATCTCCCTTCTATTTCATACTCCTTGGTCTGGTATCAGAGATGGAAGAAGCTGCTCCTTGCAAGCAGCTCTCCATCACCCCGTTGTAGAAGCAGCAGTAGTCTCCGACTGTTCATACTGTTTAAAGTTTAATCTCCGAATGTTTATAATTTTGAAAGTTTAATCTCTGAATGCTTATATCTTGAAAAGTTTTATCTCCAACTGTTTATACTTTTAAGAGATATATCTCCGAATGTTTATAATTTTGAAAGTTTAATCTCCAATTGTTTATACTTTAAAAGTTTAATCTCAAACTGTTTATACATTTAAAATTGAATTTCCAACTTTTTCTACTTTTAAAACTTTAATCTCCAACCGATTATACTATTAGAGAGCTATAAAAGGGACAGGGAAGGTAGAGAAGTAGAAGGAGCATGTTTTGGGAATGTAGGGAAGGAAGGGAAAAAATTGATGGGAGGTTGGCAGATAAGGAAGGACAGGGTAATTTAAGGAAGTGAAGGGTTGGAGCTCTTTACACGGGGTATATTATACACTGTAGTATAAATCTTAAAAAAAGATGTCTTTTTAGTTATAGAATTTGAAAAGGAAATCAAAAAAAAAATTCAGAGGGTGGAGGGAAAGAATAATAAAATTGGAATTATATACACCCCTGGTTTATACATTTGAAACTTGAATCTCTGACTGTTTATACTTTTCAAAGTTTAATCTCCGAATGTTTATACATTTAAAAGTTGAATCTCCGAATGTTTATACATTTAAAAGTTGAATCTCTGAATGTTTATACATTTAAAATTTGAATCTCCGAATGTTTTTACTTTCAAAAAGTTGAATTTCTGACTGTTTGTACTTTTCAAAGTTTAATCTCCGAATGTTTATAATTTTAAAAGTTTAAGAGTGAAAGTTAAGTCTCTGACTGTCAACTGAAAGTTAATACCTTATAAATTGTTTTCACCAATTATATAAATCGGTGAAAGTTAAGTTGCCGACTTTAAACCTTTTATCAAGTGTTTTTTTCATATTTTTAAAGCGGTGAAAGCTTTGTTTGTGACGGTCAACTACAAGTTTATACCTTATCAAATGTTTGCTCCATTGTTTAAAGTGGTGAAAGCTAAGTCTCTGACGGTCAGCTAGAAGTTTATACCTTATCAAATGTTTTCTACGATTGGTTAAAGTGGTGAAAGTTAAGTCTCTGACGGTCAACTAGAAGGTTATACCTTATCAAATGTTTTCTCCGATTTTTTTAAAGCGGTGAAAGTTAAGTCTCTGACGGTCAACTAGAAGTTTATACCTTATCAAATGTTTTCTCCGATTGTGTAAAGCGGTGAAAGTTAAGTCTCTGACCGGATTGTAGGCCTGCTGTGCGGAGACTGAACTTCTCGGAGTTCTGAACGAGAAACCGCTCTCAACTCTGGTGAGAGAAAAGTATCCTTAGTTCTCCAAACCTTTAAAATTTGGTATTAATGATGATCCACACCTCATGGAGTAAATAATGTAGGTGTTAGTTTCCACATGTAAAAAATGTATATTTTGGTCTGGGTTGATTCTTTTCAGGATATAATAACCATTAAGATCAAAATAAAAAAATGTAAAAATAAATTATAAGAAAAAGTGGGGTTGATTTTATCAACGAATTTTTAAGGAAATGGAGGGGGGGAGGTTAAAAAGGAATATTTAAACCCTTTTTTAAACTGGACATAAACAATTTCTTTACCTATGAAGAGAGAAATATGATAGCATCCATTCATATCATATACCTTTATTATAGAATTAATGTGATTTTGATGTTTTGCACAGAACTTAAAGTGACCCTCCAGTCCATAGATACGAATGGCATGCCCGATTCACAATTATACCCTTAAAAGCTTCGACTGATCAACTATAAATTGAAAAGTCATATTTTTAGGGAAAATTTTTGAAATTCTTATCATCCAAAAGTCTTTCCTGGAAAAAAAAATTTTGACACTAGCGGCTCAGTCGTTTGACGTGGTTACAAACAAACAAGCAAACATAAGCACCAAAGAACAAAAAAAACAGACAAGCAAATTATATATATATATATATATATATATAGATATTATATAGTATAAGTATTTACAATAATTATAACACACTTTTTGGAAATCACTGTTAGGACACACATAGTACAGAGGCACTAACACCGTAACCATAGAGAATAGAATATATATTAGAGGGGAATTTAAAGAATCTCTCGGTATGATTTTTTTCAGTCCCTTTCAGCCTGAAAGGGAGTTCAAAGTGTACAAATCATGTAAATGTTCACAAATTATATGCAGTAGAGTACATTAATACAGTATGTTCCCTGGACTATTCATTTTAATTTCGAATTTTTTGAAGTGTTAAATAACTTTATAATGAATTAGGTGAATAAAAAACATCATTTGATTTATAGTTATAACGGAAAATCATCGTTTGTAAAGTGGTAGGCATAGAGTCTATGTGAAATGATCATTGGTCAATAATGCAACCAGCCTATTTAATAATTTGGTGTTCTTTTAACAATAATTTTAGATTTTCTATAAAATGATATTCCAGGGCCCAAAAGGTTATATAGCATAAATATGTGAAGTACACTTGCAGCATGGAAACAGTACAACGAAATGGCCGTTTTACACTTTTTTCTAGTAAATTCCCCTCTAATATATATTCTATTATCTATGACCGTAACACGTGACACATTAAGCGCACTAACACCGTAGCACGTAACACATAAGCTTGTTACAACTACGATCAATGTATGATCCAGTCCGTCTTCGGAAAATTATTTCAGTCAGTTATTTGAGATTTCTGATATTTTGTCCATTTTTTTAACAGAAAAAATATCAGAAATAAGTCCTATCGTTGCATGACCCGAACCGGTACAAGGATTTGCCGGTCTAGTGTAATCGTACCAATTACGATCGTACCAGCCCGTCTAGTGTTCCCGATGAGTGGTTAACCCAGCACGTTATATGCTACAAATGTAGGCCAACAGGATCCATGTGCACTCCAAATAAAAAATATGGGGCCCGATGAAACCTTTTAAATGCATAAAAACAAATGTTTTAGTCCTCCTGTAAAATAACTAATTTTAAGTTATGAATTCTCAAAATTAATGAATTTAACTCTCTTTCAAAACATTCAGTAATCTATAATTCATCAATCCTTGAAAACTTAGAAAGTGTTATTACAATTTTTATCGTTTCAAATAAGAAAAAAAAATACAATATTAATACGAATAGCTTCCACGTCAATTATATAATAATATTTAAAAATAAAAGAATAGTTTTCTTATTAATCTATTCACTAATAAATACGAATTTTCAGCTTAAAAATGCATTATCTGTAACATTGATTTTTTATCATCAAATTATTTCAAGGCAATGTTTGGTGATCTACAGTGAAACCCTTAATAACGAATACATCGAAAGAATTCATCAAATGTCGAATTCTTCACTTCTTCTGATGATGGAATGTTGCAGATATTTAGTTTTTAATGAAATTATTATATGGAACTCTTTAAAACTGTTCCCGCATATTAATGGCTATTTATTTGTTTTCGCAAATACTAAAATTTGCGTAATATAGTATAAAACTCATTGAAAAATTGTCAGGACGACATATGTTAAATTCTTCCGATGTATTTGTTATTAAGGGTTTCACTGTATAAAAATCCTTCATTAAATTCAAGCTAAATGAATGATGAATGAGTTTTCTGAAAATGGAATTTGGCGCTTACAAATTACAATTACATACTACTATAGTACATTACAGCTTCAGAATTCGCCAAATTTGAAGACTGCATGGCTTCACTCATGAAAACTTTGTTTGATTAAATTAAAATTTCATAATAATTTATCTACTTTCAAGAATTTTTTTCACAAAGATTAAAGATAAAATCAAATCAAATCAAATCAAATCAAATCAAATCAAATCAAATCAAATCAAATCAAATCAAATCAAATCAAATCAAATCAAATCAAATCAAATCAGATCAAATCAAATCAGATCAAATCAAATCAAATCAAATCAGATCAAATCAGATCAAATCAGATCAAATCAAATCAAATCAAATCAAATCAAATCAAATCAGATCAAATCAGATCAAATCAGATCAGATCAAATCAAATCAAATGGGCCAGGTTTTCATCAATTTCCCTGTAAACAGCTTAGTGTCAGGGGGGGGGGCTTGGACGAGTGCTTGATTATAATTTCCAAGTGTAATCAAAATTTAATCTTCTTGGAATCACCACACCGGAATTTTTGTTGTCTTTGGGTCATTCCACTGAGATTATAGCAATGTAGAAGGAATAATAATACACAATTTGACCAAAAAACATTTTTTCTCTTTACAATTCTGGTCATTTCAGTCATTAACAGCAACGTAATTCTTTTTTTTGTCATCTAAAAAAATGTTAGTCGTGTCACGGTGTATTCCAAACGTGTAATTTTATTTATGCTTTAAACATTCAATTCTAGACCTTAATCTTTCCCTCAAACTTAGCAAAAACATTTCAACAAAATCGTGTGAATTTGTTACCCCTTAAAAACAAACAGTTGATAACAGTTTTTAAAAAAAGTCTGAACATGCCACACCCTAGTCTTAAATATTATGTTCAATAAGCGCAAAGCTAAAGGAGTCAATGTAAAGAAAAGGACTTTAAAAAATGCATCAAGTTGTCTCTTATGTCTAATTCTTCTTGGGTGGAGACTGCAGCACTGTAAGTAAGTCCCAAAAAACATGGGAATTCAGTGACGAATTCGATATCGCTTTGTTATGAATTAGCATTTTAATTTCTAATTTCAAAAGCCATAATATTATTATGTCTGCTAGAGTTTATTTTATGAAAAGGGTAAAAAGACTGCAAAGGTGTGTCCTATGTCTCCATAAGATGAACAGTGAATACGGACAAGTATACTCTGTTTGTTTATTGTAATGTTCTTGTTTTACTAAATACAACCGTATGCAGTCAAAACATAAACAAACAAAATGTGTACATACTACATAGCAGACGAAACTCTTACAGATGACAGCTTTCTCAGCAGGTATCAATATACTAAATCAAAGAATTATTTAAAAAGACGATATCGAATTCGTCACTGAATTCCCATGTTTATTGGGACACCCTGCAAAATAATCAAACTTGTTACGATGGTTTATTGCTTTATGTTGTAAGATATGTTTTGCGGCGTAGTTAATATTACAATAAATATTTTAATTAGACAATAATGAAAAACAGTTATTTTTAGAGGTAAAAATAATTGATTTAATAATCTAAATCGATCCAAGGTTAAATCTTAAATCGCAATTCTGCTGAAAAAATAAAAGATTTTCACAATCACGACTTAAAATAATGGCATATTTGTTTTTATGCATGTACATAATTAATTACTTATCGCAACAAATAATCCATCCACTTTGAAGTGGTTTGACTAGCACAGTTGTATTATTGTTTCAAAAATAAAAATACCCCGCCCATTGTCTCATTAAATTTCCGCTTAAACAGCCATCAATGATCTACGACATAAAAACCTTCCACATTGATGATTTTGTAAAAATAGATTAAAGGCAACGTTTTGAGGTCCGTGTTTTAAATGGCTACACAAGAATCTGAAAATCGTCAAGTTAATTTCTTTGGCCAGAGAAAAAAATTAGCTTAATGCAGGGTGGCCAAAATATCAAATATTTTCAGAAAATATCCGTACAATCCGTACATTTAAGACAATCCGTAAAATTCGTAAAAAGAGAAGAAAAAAAAATTTATTTTTATAAAAAACATCCAAAATAAAAAACATCAAAGTTAAAAAAAATTTAATTTCTCATTGATATTATCATTTATTTTCCTTTGTGTTTCTTTGTGAGCAAAGTGTGACCTTACATTGCTTTAAAATTTATCTAAAAAAATGACTGCACTGTGTAGTGTACAGATGATAAAGATGATAAAGCCGGATGAAAAAACTGCCGAAAAAAAATACAATTTAAAATCTGCTAGCTTTTTATGTTTTACTATTATGTAAGCTCTTGTTTTTATCTTTTTAAATTGTGATAGATTTCCTTATTCGTCCAAGCTTAAAACAAATTATTTATAGCAATAATAAATTGTTAAATAAGTAATCCTTGACCTTTAAATTTTATAAGATTTAAAGTTAGGATGTATTTTGTGAATCTTTTGCACTTTATTAACAATTAACCCTATTCCTGCTGGGAGGGGGGGGGGGTCAATTGGACCCCCCCCTGTAGTTCTTTTTTACATAACTCAAAAAGTGTTGGTCTGAGGTTGTTCAAATTTTCTGACTTTCCTACATACCCAAAGCCCTCCCTTTAGGCCAAAAACCGGGCTTTAATACTAACTGCCTGAGTCCTCAGGCACACTGCCTGAATGACTGCTTTTTCCTGTAACAATTTAGCTTTTTGGAAAGCCTGACAAAGGAAATTTGCACATTTTTAGTTTTTCTTAATTAAAAATCAAGTTATTTGAAATTTTGCAAAAAATTTTTCATATTTGAAATGGCATGGTCCAGGGCTTTTCAAAAATGTATAATTTTTCATTTTTGGACAAATTTTTTTTGCAAACATTTTTACTATATAACTGGATTTTGCGATAAAAAATTTAATTTTTTCAAATTCGCAAATTTTTTTTGCAGATTTTAAAAGTAGAGCACAAGAGCTTCCCAATGATGTATCATTTGTCATATTTGGACATCAAACATGGGATTTAGGGGGGGGGGGTCAATTTGACCCCCCCCAGCATATCCTGGTTTTCAAGCAGAGATAGGGTTAACAGTCTACAGAATGTTCCCAATAAACATGGGAATTAAGTGACGACTTGAATAAAGGTTTTCATTTTTAATTGTTAAGATACAGCGAAGGCAGATCCCATTTCGAAAAGCTTAAACACGTAAATGATGATTCGACTTCTTAATTCCCATGTTTATTGGGACGTGTATAACATGACAAGAAACCCAGAATTAGTTGGTTTTAACTTCCAAGTTACGTCTGACTCTTCGTACTTTTTTTGGGCAGTTTCATAATTAGGGGAATCCCATTCCCTACTCCCCTTCTGTTTATTCACACTTTTTATGTTACAATTTATCTTCTATGAGTATAAGGAGTATATGAGATTACCCGGTATTTTAAAGTTTTTAATTTTTCACAGTTTATTTTACACTGTTCTTAAAATTTTGGATGACTTGTAATGAATCAGTTTGAACATACCTATATAAATTGAGTCACGTTGAGAGCCGACGAGATCGTACCCATTGGATTGGCATTCATCGCTTAGGAGCTTGTTTGATAGCTACGCTTGTGAGTTGTTTCCCTGTGTGACATTCAGAGCCAAATAGATTGTGCTCATTGGTTTAGCATTAATCGTTTAAGATCTTGCTTGATAGCTAAGCTTGTGTTCCTGTGTGACATTCAGAACCTATAATATCGTGTCCATTGGTTTGACATTGATAGCTGAAGAGTGAAGAGTTTGTGTCCTGTGTGGCATTTATAGCTGACGAGTTGTACCTTGACTGATACAATTCTGGACGAAGTACGGCATTTACTAGAAATCGATAATTATTTCTTAAGTTTAAAAATCTAAAAATAAAATTGGTATTATAAAAAAAAAGCTTTGGTACCGATATATTTTATGCTAACTTTGCCCAGTCGAACAAATTTGCTTTTTTATCAATCGGTACATTCCACTGCAGCATGTATTTCTGGAAAATATTCTCGAATGAACACTTTTGGAACATCTTCTTAAACTTCATTTTGACAACTTATTTAGAAAATTTCCATGAAATTAGCTTTTATCGAGTCAAAATAGAAAAAAATTATGTTTTCTGGACTTAAAATCCTGAAAATACAATTTGAGATGTTATCCGAACAATCCGGACATTTTGGCCACCCTGTTCATGTACACTGTACAGGGTGTCCCACATCAAATTAGACCGCGGCAATGGGTCTAAATTACGATTTGGGGGACAAATCAGAAAATTTAAGAAGAATGAATCATTTTGAAAAATTTAATAAGGCTAATAGAAATTTTTTTGCAGGTGATGTTAGATTTTTTGAGTATGATGTGCGTATTTAGGTGTTACAGATTGGAGATAACCTAATATGATATGGGACGCTCTGTACCAAAAGCAAATTTTAAGAAAATTGGATTTTGATGTTTGTTAAACATCTTAGATTTTTCAGAGCACATCTTATGCCAAAAAGCCTTGAATATGGTAAAAACAGACACCAAACTTACACTTATTTTTAACTCATGATACGTTTTGGACCAATTTTAATTTAATAACTAACCCATTAGATATGGTTACCTTATTAAATTGGATGACTGCAGACTGACCATCCAAGCTTAGTTCTTTAACAACATAATATCTACTCACTGAGTTACACATCATCATTGAAAACAAATCTCAATAATATTTAAGTAAATATACTTCAGGATAAAATTGTGTGATTAAAAAATTGAATTGCACCATATTTGAACACTGTTCTGCAGACACGCATGTGCAATGTGCATGAGCATAAAAAGAACATTGATGCTTTATCACTAATATTTAAACATGTACACTCGACAGTACAATAACAAACTGTATACAAATCTGACAAACAATAAAAAGTGTGAATACAGAGTATATAAATTACAACGGCTATACACTTAAACAACTCTTGTTGAACTTTCGATTCTTTTTGATAAAATTTATGCAGAAACACCCTGACTGAGTGCTTGTGTAAGTAAAAACATACGACAACTTTGGATTAATAAACAATATTTATTGTTGTTATTCTACGAGTTTGATTGAATAATAACATATATTTATTTAATCAGTCTGTTCTATTATGACGCCAAATCCAGATAATGTTTTGGAGTCCACTTGGCAAACATAAACATAACAAATATTAGAATTCTTTTCTTCAGTGGTACAAAATAGTTTTTAAGTAGATGAACCATTAAAGTTATCAGCTTTGTTGCCTAGGACGGAATAAGAAAAAATACGCAAATTTTTAAAGAAAAAAATACAATTTAGTTGGAGAACTAGACAGAGAACACATAAATACTTTAATTCACTTAGCAATTTGAACATAAATACTGTGCTTTTTAATTGAGTAAAATAAGATACTAAACAAAAAAAGTAAATTAAGGATACATATTAAAATCATGGGTATAGCTCTAGTGTCTTTGGTAAGTTTTGTACGCTCTGAGGCAAGAAATCTAAAACTTTAACATCAAAGATTTTAGAAAAGGTAAAAGGTTTATCAATAAAACTAAAAAGAAAATAAAGTAAATCCCATTTCTTGTGAATACGTTAAACCCCATTTCTTGCGCTCAGAGCCAATAATTACGGATGCCATACAAAACATATCATACAGAAACATATTGATTTCAAAACAATAAAAATATCTCTCATAAATAACATATTAATTCAATTCAATTGTATTTTATTAAGGAAGCCAGGGAGTGTCCAATAGCTCCTTGACCTAGCCTGGGTATGCTATAGAGGTTGGTTACTCTGGATGCTCTCCAATGTACGGAAAATGTCGTCTCCTTAGCAGAATCCTCACATGACGTAACTGATTATAGAGGTGAGCGTGACGTCATATGAGGATTCTATCTGTGTTTAGGAGACAACATTTTCCGTGCATTGGAGCACATCGTGAGTAACCAACCTTTCTAACCGTGTCATAATCCCTTCTAGGTCTTATCAGTCTAACGTCGAGCTCAGACCAAATTTGAGGTTTGATACCGGTTTCATTCCTTCCGCAAACACAAAACATCTCAAGCACAAAAAGTATCAAATGTAACATTTTAAACCCAAGTTGTTGAAACTCCCTGATTTTTATTTTCACATTCGAATATTTTATAAAAAAATTTACAGGAATTTTTTTCTCGAATATCATCTCAACCCTACTCACATCTAAACAATTTTATTGAAGTAAACATTATTTACGATTTGGTTTAAAGTGTTATGTACTGGATATGTTTTAGTGCTGATGTTTTATATTTTGATTAGAGTTGTTTTAATGTTTTTTTGTGAAAATATGTTTTGTATGTGCTTCAAAATTACTGGGTCATTCTTACATTACCACAGTACGTGTACGACAAGAACAAATTTTTTCTTTCTTCCAATTTGAACAATTTTGAACATTTTATATAATATTAGTGACATCCAGTAAATATAATAAAATGAAACAGATTTAATACACTTTTTGTAATAAATATTTTTTTCCAACTTATATGATGCATTATTGGAATTAGGATTTATCCATGTTAAAAAATTTCTGTAAAACCACTGATATGATTTCTCAGAATGCAAACTGGATTTAACGGGTTTCTTCTAAAGATGAGTTGACCAGTACAGTGTACAGTATAAACCAAGACTGGTTTAAAACCAGGTGTACAGAGTACACACTAAATGTACAGTGTGACCCAAAAATGGTTTAAACCCGGTTTAACTTAAACAGAGTACAGTGTACACACTGAATGTACAGTATGATCCTAGACTGGATTAAAACCGGTTTAACTTGAACAGAGTACAGTTTACACACTGATTGTACAGTATGATCCTAGACTGGATTAAAACCGGTTTCCTCCTCATCACTGCCTGCAGACTCTAGGGATTCCAGTAGGCCACGTTTCCCACCCCTGAAGTAAATATAAATTATCAATATCAGCTTTGATCTTACACATAAACATCAACATCGCAAAAAAGGTCAAAAATATATTCAACTTGTGTTATAAATCTAGGGATAAAGCTTTAATCTCCAACATTTGAATACTTCCAACTAAAGTTAATTGCTTTTTGATATCCCGTGGTGCTTTATTCCCTACTTGGAAGCCATTAACAAACGCTTACTTCAAGAAATAACAGATTAAATCATTAACCCGAAATATTCAGTTCTTAACAAAGAACGAACCAACGAAAAAGTTGATCTGTTCCATTTATTTTAACCAACTGTTAACAAATTATTTTTAATGGTCTGAATGTGCCCAGTCCTGGCTAAGCCTAGGAATTCAATTGCGGATTTGAACTATATATAATGTCACGACTAAGGGGTAATTAAACCACAATAAAGACTCTTGAAAACTGAAGAATTGGTTGTAATATCAAAATAAATAACCAAGGATAAAGCCAACAATTAAACTAAAACAAATAATCTAACAATAATTGTCTGAAAAAAATCTATTTGATTAGAAATTAGAAATTTTGACGATGTCAAAGTCAGAGTTGAGAAGTTCACTAATTAGTTTCAAGCTTCCAGAAATAGTTGAAGTAAAGTAAACTATCAAACTCATGCTTCAATTTCAGCGTAATGCCAGTAGGCGGAGTGATGCAGCTAACGGCACTTTAACGAGATTTGTTAAAAGAGACTAGTAACCTTATTAAAATAGTATTTGATCTAACAAAACATGAGGGTATAACCTTTTTCAAGGAAAGGGATGAAAGCTTCACCATTTGAAGGGACAGAGCCGAAAACTTTGGAATGCTGGATATCGAGATTAACGCTAATTTAGTCTTTGGATTAACTTCTATAGATTAAAGATGCGCTCTTTAACTTTGAAAAACCCGGTTTGCATATTTCTGGTGTTGATGGTTTCATATCAATCAAACTAATGATCGATTTAACAAAAGTAAGTTTTGGATAATTATGTTTATTAACACTAACGTTCAAAATGGCTATAGTCCTCAAATGAAATAAAACTAGCCTTATAGGGCGCTTCGCGCCCATCTTCTAAATTAATTGTGAACATGTTCTCTTTGTGTACATCGTAAAACAAAACAAAAATAATTCGAGGATTTTCACAAAAAATTTAGTGGATTTTCAAAATTTTCAAAAATTTAATGAAGATCGAATTTTGATGGAGACAAATATTTAAAATTTCAATCATTCATAAACCTTCCCTGGGGTCCCTAGATGTCCCACAAAAAAATTGGGCCCGATCGGTTCAGCCGTTTTGACGTTTATTGGATACAAACAGACAGACAGACAGACAGACAAACAGACAGACAAGCCAAATTTATATATAGATATGTATTTTTTAATCAGAGCTGAAAACTTTAGAATGGTGGATATCAGGATTAAGGCTTAAACCACTCTTTTTCTTAATATCCAGTTTAAATATTGCTTGTTCTCCACATGAATTTAAACTCCAGAGAAGCAACTTTATCTTCCAATTGGATATTTCATTCTAAAGTTTTCAGCTCTGTTCATATTAGCATGATTAAATTTATATTTGTTTAAATGCTCTAAAAGTCGACTTGGGAATAGCTGACTTTAGTCCAATCGATAAAGCATTGTATCTATAATTGTATTCAAACGTAACTCTTATACAGTAGGGATATTCAAGAAAGAGGATTAAGAAGAAAATCAAAAGTGTGTACATTGGATATTCAGATTAAGCAATCGGGATTAAGGATATCCTATACTTAAGTTTTCAGCTCTGGTATTATTGACTCCTCATAAGTAAATTATATGTTTTCTAATGAAAATAAATAATGAAAAAAACAACTTTAAATTAATTTAATTAAAGTTTTAGATAGTTTTTAAACAAATCTCAACCCTACTCTCTAGCACTAGAATTATATCATTTTCTTCTCAATATATTTCGCCAAAAACTTTGGCATCATCAGGAGTTCGTCATTACTCTTTTGAAGAGTAATGAATGAATTGAATTAAAGTTTGAATAGATGTTTATCAATATATTTTAGTTGCAAAATTACAAATTCATAAAATTGCATTATTTTTTTTAAGTGAGTTTGGTTATTTAGTATTATTACAAAAATAATGTATAAATATATATTTATATATACAATATTTAACTCCGTTTTTGGTTGTCAGTCTGCTTACTTGGATGTCCGATCATAACTCATTAACTCCTTGACCGATTTGCCTCAAATTTTGATTGAAAAACTCAGTAGAACCACGGAAATATCCTTGGCTCAAGATTCAAAAGTTCTAAAAAAAAATTTAGGACTTTTCCAGCGAAATATTAGTTTCCAGCAAAAGCTGAGTTTCCAAGCACGTGTTTGATAAGGAGAGAGAGAGATATGAATATAGTCCAATGGCATAAAGTTTAAAACCTACCTGGGGCTGGGGCTCTTGGATAGTTTTGAAAATGAGAAGAATCTTCTCCTAGGTTTAATCTCCACCTCCAAATCGTCTCCAGTATGAATACTTAAAGTCTCTCCATCCCCAGCCTAGATAATTTTACCCACACATGTATTGCCGAGTCTGTTCGGGACTTTTTCTTTGATCCAGTAAATATCATGACAGCCGACTTTTTTAGTTAATATCTTGTCAAAGTAAACATTATTTAACAAAAGTACATCAAAGATATGGACTATGATAATCATTTAGATTCTTGTCAAATGCAGAGCCGCAAAAATGTAAAAATACTAAAAAACGCCTAGTTGTGAAGTCACAAAATATGCGTAAAAGGGACTGTAAGGGAAAAATAAAAGGGGGTATAGGCTGAAACCTGAGAATCTCAGGAGTCAAATGAGACCTGTAAGACAACTATTTGATGTTCCTGTCTCGAGAAATGGACATAAACTGTGTCAAAATTACACCAAAACGTATATTTGTAAGATATACGTCCGAATCAAGTGACCATAACTCCCTCAATAACAGTGGAGTATACTGGTCACGTGATTCAGACTGAGTCACGTGACAATAATACTGCACTGTCATTAGTTGGAGTTTTGGTGACACGGACGTATAAATAATATTATCAATTATAAATATCTATTACAAATGAATTATTATTAAACTCAAATAATAATGGGAGCCAACCTGAGATTCTCAGGCTCCTCTGGGATATCGTCGTTTTCAGATTGGTTGCATATTTGTTAAAAATTATCAGTTAAATACTTCGAATCTTATACACAATCTTTTTGGTATAATTTTGACACAGTTTTGTATCAATTTCCCAAGACGGGAACATCAGATAGATGTCTCATAGGTCTCAATCAACTCATGAGATTCTTAGGTTTCAGCCTATACCCCCTTTCATTTTTCCTTTACAGTCCCATTAAGAAATGATAATCATGTGAAAAAAAAATCTCAACAATAACAGAGGTGTTTACAGGAGCTGTCTAGGGAGGGATGAGTTCAATTATTTTTCCTAAAATCGATTTTAAAACAAAATAAAACTTCGAAGGACGTTTTTTTGGATGTACCTTTAAACCATATAGACTTCAATGTTAAGAAATAAGTTTAATTTGGTTAGTTAGAAGTTAGTATAGTAGCCTACCTGCATATATTTTTTAAACTCTACAGTATCCAGCTCTTGTCTTGTTGGTTTCTTATATAGCTTCAACAGTAGAGAAGAGACAACTACAGATACAGATGACAGAGCCATTGCACCACTTCCTATCCAGGGTTGAAGTTTTATCTAAACAAACGTGACGTTTATTCACGCAATACAACTCATGCTTAATGGTTTCCTACCCAGGATGATAAAATTAACAAGATATTGGTGTACAGTGAAACCCTTAATAACGAATAAATCGAAAGAATTCATCAAATGTCTTATTCTTCACTTTCTGATGATGGAATGTTGCAGTTCTAGTTTTTTAATTAAATGATTATATGGAACTCTTAAAAACTGTTCCCGCATATTCATGGCTATTTATTTATGTTCGCAAATACTGAAATTTACGTTTATAGTATAAACTAATTGAAAATTTGTCAAGACGACATTTGATAAATTCTTCAGATGTATTCGTTATTAAGGGTTTCACTGTATATATATATTCAAACTTCTTTTTATGTGCACTATTTGGCTTTAATATAGAACTACTTTCCATTATCGATTTATTTTCCGATTATCTCATTCAAACGGATTCAAAACAAATCATTTTCATTCATACTTGAAAGTGCCAATGCCCAAAGTTGATTATTAAAAAAAGATTGCCATCAGCATTGCTACTTCAAACCCTAGTACAGAAGTAAAACAACTGAGGGAAAATGAGTAAAAGAAAGAACACTAAACCGAATAAAATATGGTGCAAAGACAGCAACCATACATTTTTTTCAAAACACCGAAAAAAAGGACGACAACATAACACAAGAAGAAAGAAAACTATTTTATTTTGTAAAAATATTTTGTTAAAAAAAGTTTGATCTTTAAAAAAACCTAGCCTTATTTAACAATTTCCATTTGTTACGTTATCTTATTGGGTTTTCAATAGCAGATTTAATAATTATTTTTCGTCAGATGTTTTACACATTGTGATAAGAGGTTGAGGTTTTTCTTTGAACTAACCTGCCAGGGTGAGAATACTCCTGCTGCTACAGGAATACCAATAAGATTATAAACTGAAGCGAACATGAAGTTCAACCAAATTCTAGAAACTGTTTTACGGGACAGATCCAAGCAGGCAACTACATCAAGCAGATCATTCCTAAATACGAATTCTTCTTCTATATATAAATTTGGCTTGTCTGGGTGTTTATTTGTATCCAATAAACGTCAAAACGGCTGAACCGATCGGGCCCAAATTTTTTGTGGGACATCACGTGACCCCAGGGAAGGTTTATGAATGATAAAAAAAATTTTTAAATGTGTTTTAAAGGTTTTTAGTTTTATAAATTTGGCTTGTCTGTCTGTCTCCAATAAACGTCAAAACGGATGAACCGATCGGGCCCAAATTTTTTGTGGGACATCACGTGACCACAGGGAAGGTTTATGAATGATAAAATTTTTTAAAAAATGTGTTTTAAAGGTTTTTAATTTTATAAAAAAATTTAAATTCTTGAAAATCCGCGAATTTTAAAATTTTCTTCTTTGTTTTAAAATGTTAACAAAAAGAACATGTTCTCAATTTAAATAGAAGATGGGTGCGAAGCACCCTAAAAGCCTAGTATAAAATATATGATCACCCAATGGGGAATAGTCACTTAAAAGGTATAATGAGGTAACTAGGAGGACTAGGAGAGCATAGATATCTTCCTTCATGGTCAGCAGTATTTAGGATCAGGGGTCTATGTGTAGGTTCTCTGGCCTACCAGTCCCTCTTAGTTAGTTTACTTTTTTAAATGTAACCTAACAATTTACAAAAACCAAATACTTGATTAAGACAGAATCCTAATTCAGGGACAGAGTTTGCTTCAAAACCTTACATCTCTTTCTATACAACTATGGCGGTGGAGGTTTTCAGTGAACTTTTATAGTAAAAATGCTATTCAATTTTTTACAAGTTCTCCCAATTGAAAAATTTTCTTTTAATCTTTAATTAATTACTCCAGAACATAAATCTTTTCTTTCTTAATATTATATTCTTGAAGTCAAACAACTTCTCCTTCCTTCCTAAGTTGATCATTCTAGAGCTTGGTAGTTTTCTTGTATATGGAAAATATGCAAAAAAAAAATCATTTTAGCCTGATCATTATATGGAATACTAGCTAAAGGGCCCGGCTTTGGCCGTGGAAAAAAATTTGAAAAAATATTTAAAAAAACAATATGAAATATATGTAAAAAATACAAGATTTTAAATATTTAAGAAAAATCTTTTCCTAACAAAAATTTATTTTTACTTTATAGAATCAGTTAAAAATAAATCTCACGCTTATCAATAAAAATATATGAAAATATTTGTGGAAAGTTCTCAAATCCGCTAAAAAACCGGTGTTAATTGAGCAACGGCTTAAATCTTGAAACATTAATTACAACTTCAAGTGGAACCAACCATATTTGAGTCGCGTCTCAAATTTAATCCACAGCTAAAATTCTTTAAATTCGGCCTCAGCATTATTTTTTCGGATTGGTAGTTGACAATCTTTCCTCACAGAACCCGCAATTGAAAATAATTTTAATTTTTAGCTTCAAAAATTTGGAATAGAAAATCTCTTTCATTAATGATCATTTGAATTACATTTACACTATGAAGCCCCACTAAAGGGAAACCCTGATAAATCATACAATGATAAGTATCAGACCAAAGTAAACATCCTTTTAGTGTTTCTTAATTATTTATCAGAGCACTCCAGTTTGGAATAATAATATAATAAGTTTTTTCTCTTTTCCCAATCCCACAAAGACAAACAGAGGTCCATCCTACAGCTATCATTGGAGTTTCATAACAACTCAAGTGTACAGTTTACAATGAAATGAAGTGTAGTGTACAGTGCACAGTGTACAGTGTACAGCATAATCTACCTGATGAGAACAACATCAGCTGCTTCAACTGCAACATCTGTTCCACTTCCAATAGCAATCCCTACAAGGAATACAATTAGTAGTTTAAACTTATCCTTCATTTTTTTACTTAGTTCTTAGTGTCTTTATTTATTTATTAACGCTGAATCTACTTTATTAAAACTTATCAAATCTAATCTAAGACTAATTATAAAAAATCAGACTTTCCAAAACCCCCTAATCAAACAGTTATATATTTATATCAAATCTAAAGTACGGCCAGTTGGTAATTATTTTAATACATTTTACAGTTATAATTTCCATTTAAGGTACGCCAATTTGTTATGCAAAAGATCGGATAAATAGTAGATAAAATTTTTTTTTGATGTATAATTCGTTGCTCAATCAAAAAGTATGAATGTGCAATTTTTTCTTATATTCATCCTTAAGAGAAAAGTGATTTCATAAAACTTTTCTAAAACCCTGTAACTGAGTTTAATCAAGCTTGTAATAACGAAAACCAAAGACTATGCTAAATTATGTAAAAAACGCCTTTATTAAATAACAGGACGTAAACAGTTTTCATCACGCATTCATCTGGTTCATATTTGATTACCCAACAAACTTTCAGTTAAACAATAAAACAAATGAACTTATTTTGCAGTGCTTAGGATCAGAATCTGTTGGATCCGCAACATGTATGCTCCCGGATTCGCAAAATATGCGGAAACATGGATCATCAGATCGTAAAAAAAACTTTGCTCTCAAATCCCATATGTGAACTGTTAAAAAATAGATAATTAAAAATGTACTAACTTTAACTCTGAATGGTTTAGCATAAAAAAGCGAAATAAATCTTTAAGAAATGTTTATGACTTCGATTCATTATATCCACGACGAATCCGGATCCGCATGAAAATGAAAAGGATCCTAGGCACTGTTATTTTGTTTTGTAATTTTTTATTTTCTTTATTCCAAGGTTCTTTTGATTACCTATATCAGCTTGAGCTAGGGCTGGGGAATCATTGACTCCATCTCCAACCATAGCAACCTTTAAAGGGAGTATCAGCATAATTTCAAATAAAGCTTGAATGCAAAGATGGCAATGTTCGATTTACCACGGTACCCTTGAAAGCTTTGTCTGATCAAGTATGAGTTAGATATCAATTCATTTAAGCTGTTTCTTTTCATTCGCAATTTCTCTGATAAAGTGACTTGTGCATTCCTTGAATATAAGAAGCCATGGAGAAACTCACAGAAATAAACACGTTGAATCAGAAAAACGACGTTATCATCCACATTTTTGATCAGGTAAAGGTTTCAAGGGTACCTTTGTAAATCTGGCATTGCCATATTTGCATGGAGATCACATGACATTACGCTTACAGTTCCCCTTACATTAATTATAATACTAAATCATATTCTAAAATAATTATAGGAATCCCTGCAAAACCAAAACTTGTGAACAATTAATTAGTGCATCTATTCGGAGAATCTCAAACTCAACTATTCAAATAAATTCGGAATTTAATTAACCTTTTAATTTGAAACTTTTAATTAGAACAATTTAAGCTTTTGACCCCCCTCCCCTCGCCCCTCCCTTCTATTCTTCACTCCATCTCTTTTATTTACTCATTATGACAACCCTAAAACAACGAATGGAGTTAAACGTCACGCCTGTCAGCACCTTCCTAGCTAAATGATACAAGGTCATATTTAGGTAAGCCCGGGTAAGGATACATTATGATTTCTTAATTATCATCATTATCATCATTATCATCATTATCATCATTATCATCATTATCATCATTATCATCATTATCATCATTATCATCATTATCATCATTGTCATCATTATCATCATTATCATCATTATCATTATTATCATCATTATCATCATTATCATCATTTTCATCATTATTATCATCATTATCATCATTATCATCATTATCAACATTATCATCATTATCATCATTATCTTTAAAATTATTCAGTCGTTTATATTATTTGCTTATTAGGGAATAAAAAAAATTAAAATCAACAAACATTGAAAGAAAATAATTATTTGTTTTTTCGTTATTTTTTTAAAGCTTACTATTAAAAATCAAAAACTTTTAAGAATTGATTAGAGCAGAAAATGTCTGCAATAATTAGCTGCATAAAATAATATTTTACATTTTAATAATCAAATAAACTAAATATTAATTTGAAGATTTATTTGTAAACTACATTTAAACTTACAATTTCCCAACATACTTTCCTTACAACTTAATTAATTTTCTGTTTAATTTTCAATTTTCCCTTTTTCTTATTCAGACACTAAAGTATGCATAATATGACAAGTAACATTTTTAATTTTCCTACTTGAGAGGATTAAAAATAACAAAGTTGACATTTTATGTCTTATCTTAGAGTTTACATTATAAGTCTAACTTTATCTTCACTAGTTTGAGGACCCAGCGTTGGCCAGGGTACGTATAGTTACTCCCGCCGTTTACCCCACGCTTGGTCGTAAATTTCGATTTTAGCTTTTCCCCAATGGAAGTGGACCTACTCAACTTAGAATCTCAAAACCAAGCTGAGAACATTTCCGTGGTTCTCCCGAGTGCCCCAATCAAAGTTTTAGATGGATCGATCAAAGGGTTCCGGAATTATGATCGGACATACAAACAAACAGACAAACAGAGATTACAGCTTTATATATAGATATCAATTGGTGATATTTAGGCGAAAAATAAGCTTGGTGCGTTGCTTAAAAAATGTGTTTACAGTATGAAAAAACAGAGCATGTTTGATACTATTGATTTGAATAGAGCCGGATCTATCTGGCAGACTCTCCGCCTTTCTTCCGCCTCATGTGACGGATTAACCTTCCTCAATTTCGACTTAAGCCTGGCAAATTTTATTCATCATGCCCCGTGGATCAAGCCTTTTGGCTTGAGTGTAAATAGAACTCGGGGTCAACGTTGGCTTGGATTTCCCGCGTGTTTTGAATCACGCGCTTGAAACATGTTTCCTAGGATAGCATCTTTTAACGGATAAAATATCTGAATACCTTTACACGAGGCGGTTTATTATCCATCCTACTTACCGTCAGACCTATAGCTGTGTACAAAAGCTAATAAGAATGACTACTTAAAATCTGAGATTAGCTATAACTATCCAATCTGAGATTAGCTATAACTATCCAATCTGAGCTTAGCTCCGGATCCGTATTAGAACTGAAGGGGTTACATCAATGAACCTATCCTTATTCCAAGCTATTGAGTTCATACTGGTTACACTAAATTGTAATAAACTGTAACCTGACATTGAATACAAAATTGTACAAACGGAGATTATCTTTTACTTTTTACTCGCTCCAGTTGGAAACTTTAGGAGCCTATCAAAATGTTATTTTTAAATCTACAAGTCTTAATCTTGAAAATCCGTTTACAAACAAGTTTGTAGACCCTTGTACAAAGTTGTGCAAACAGAGATTATTTATATTTTTACCAAATTTACCACTCCAGTTGGATACTTCATGAGCCCATAAATTGTAATTTTTAGATCTACAAGCCTAAAATTAGACCCACTGAATCGGTAATTGTACGTAGATATATAAATTGGCATCAATCTTGAAAATCCGATTATGAACGAGAGTTTGTAGACCCTTATTCCCCGTTTTTTTTAGGCACCTTGTACATTCTACGGAATCAATGTGTACACCCCTGATCAAAATGATGTCCTATACCTGTTATCTCCAGTTAGTAGTATAACATCAAGACCTCGCTTCTTCAGACAGTAAACTGTGAGGGCAGCCTCAGGTTTAACTGTATCCGCTATACCAACTAAATAAAAAAAATGGTACAATATAGTTTACGCCAAAAACTAACAACGATACGGTCCGGGCGAATAATATGTAAGCGCACTGCCGCGAAGTAGTGTTTATGACGTCATTTGCGATTCGGGCGACAAATTAATGCAGTATGCCTTCTCTCTCTCGCTAAACGCAGGGGTAGAACTGCCAATTAAAAACCTGAACCATCGTTTTAACGAGAGTGGAGACTTAGAATAATGAGAGAAAACGTGAGACATATGTAAGAATTAATTGATTAACAATGTAACACGTGTAAAACTGTAAATTCTAAAAAGCCTTTTTATTTTTTTTTCATGTATATCTTCTTAAAAAATCTTTAATAAATTGTAGAATAATAAAATGATAAACTTACATATACCCGCCCTGGCCCTCCGCAAGTTTTTTCATTCTGTTTGATACTTTTTGATCCTTTATACCGAAATAAAATTCAATAAAATCTCCCCCCCCCCATTTAGCGAATAAAGCCCATAAAATTTGTTTGTCGTTCCGCGCAAACATATATACCTGCCTTGTGAAAAGAAAAAAAAAGAAAAAAAGGAGGAGGAGGAGGGGGTATTCAGGAAATAACGATTTTCGAGAAATATACACCCCTAGTTTTATACTGCATGTAACCTACTTTAATTGATATTTAACTAAATCATAATTGAAGATTAACTTTTGTAATCAGGAAAAAAAGACGACATTTAAAAATAGAAAAAAAACAATGTTTAAGTTTTAAATATACCTAAAGCAATGAGCTGTTTATTAACAGCTAGAATAACAGCAGTCCTACCCAACTCTTCTTCTAGCTTTAGCCGTTCATCCACGTGGCCAGGAACCTACAAAATAATTATGTTACATCAATAGTTATCTTCCTGCTGCTACAAGTCACAAAATAGCTTACACCCTTTTCTTTACGCAATTCAGGCTTTCAATCCTCCAGGCTGCAGAAATGAAAAGTAAAACAAAATATTAAAAGATGCATAATATGTTCAAAATAAATATTCTTCCGATTCCTCAGTAATTTTAGGTGACATGTCATTTAAAAAGGGGCATGTCGGATTCCCATCGGTTGGTCGTCCTTAAAACCAGAATCTGTGCAATAATGCCAGGTTTTCTAGCTTTTAAAGTCATTTTTAAAGAGAAAAAGAAGAAAATGAGAAGAAAAAAAAACAGTTTTAAACAAAAAATGGATATCTAATTCATGCATGATGAGACGAAGCTTTTAGTTTGAAGGGTATCGTTGTGAATTGCACGTGCCACTCTATAAATGGAGAGTCACTAGACATTATGACAATAGTCCCTTAGATAGAGGATTAAATTATTTAATAGTCCCTTTAAAATGATATTTCATGAACATTAATAATATTTCAATTTCCTAAATTCGGATAATAATAAGACATAAGACATATTTAGGCTGGCTGGCTTGAAATTGGTCACGAAATAGGTATTAAATCTATTCTCTGGCCCTACTTCGTGTCACCGTTAACCAGGGGTCCTCCCAGGTTAACCAGTGGCAGGTCAGGTTGAAAGAAAATGTTAGATTTTAAAAAATTGGCAAAAATTTTAACCTTAAAGTTTAAAGGATACGACGGATTATCGCCATTTCAAACAAAAGTTTCGACCTTAGATTCATATTGTTCAAGTCAAAGATATTTTTAAATGATTTTGTTACCTCAATAAAATTTCGTTCCATCCACTCCCTGTTCCCCACCAGGACCTTGTAGTAGTCCTCCTCCTTCCTTGTCTTGTCCTTTTCATTCTCCTCCTTCTTTTCCCTCTCCAGAGGGAAGAGGTTTATCAAGATTTCCTCTATGAACAAGGTTATATAATTTAAAACCGTTGTAAAATGCTTTGTGTTAGTTATTTAATTTCTAAAATCCCTAGTATATTTATCTTTGAAACTTGATTGTGTAAACCTTAGATATTTCAAATTTATATTATTTGATCTGACAGAATTCTTGATTGAAATATCTAAGAACTACGACTTCTTGATTGAAATATCTAAGAACTACGACATCGGTTTGCAAAGATATAGGAATTAGAAAGTCCGAGTTTGTGGTTAAGACTCAATTCCTTGACAGAAAAGTAAAGGACTATAGCTTAATTTCAAGAATCACAACATGAAACTCTTCTTATCCCGTTATCTGATCAAAAATGTGGAAGGGTTTCTAGTTTTTTATCTTAGAAAGTTTTTAATCCTGACAATTTCCTTCAAAGTTTCTGATCCACACATTGGCAGGTTATTTTGTTGAGAAACCATAATTAAAAATAATAAACTTTCAAGGACAAAATGCTTGACATTTCATGCATTATTGAGCAGACAAAGCTCTTTAGAGAACAGTTGTGAATCGGACATGCCACTCGATAAAATAAGAACACTTCAAGTTTTCCTTGTTCTCATTAGAAAAACAAAATTTTTGAAAAAATTATTAGACAAGACAATTTAAACCTCTAAACTTAAAATTATGATAAAAATTAACAGTTTAGAAAATTAGAAAAATTTAAGTTTTGCTTTATCAACATCAAGTAAGTTTTAAGCTTACCTTGCTCATTGAAAATCTTAGGAAGCATATGAGTGGATACACTAGCTCCTGCTAAATCAATATCCTCTTCACCCTTCCTTCTCATATTCACATAGTTGATAACCTAAACAAAGGAGTGGATACACTAGCCCTAGCTAGATCAATATCCTCTCCACCCTTCCTCCTCATTTTCACATAGTTGATAACCTAAACATAGGAGTGGATACACTAGCTCCAGCTAGATCAATACCCTCTTCACCCTTCCTCCTCATATTTACATAGTTGATAACCTAAACATAGGAGTGGATATACTAGCTCTAGCTAGATCAATATCCTCCTAATCCTTCCTTCTCATATTCACATAGTTGATAACCTAAACATAGGAATGGATACACTAGCTCCTGCTAGATCAATATTCTCCTAATCCTTCCTTCTCATATTTACAAAGTTGATAACATATAATTTTAGTCATTTCCAAATATTTATACTGTACAGTGTACAAAGCATAAAATTGTGGAATATTAAGACGACATTTCAGGTCCTTTCAGTACATTTGATGTTACATAACAAATAGTTTTACTAGAAGCTTCAAAATGAAAATTAATTGTTAAGTGGGTTGTTCATTGCAGACTATTAAAAATCATAAATTTTGTCTAAAACTTGTCTTTCTAAATTCCAAAGTTTTCTGGTTCTCGCTGTATTAAAAATATTGAACTGTTTTTAACAAAGAAAATTACTCATATTGTTTTTTAAATCTTTAGAAACCCTGAATAACTAGATTTTTGTTAAACAAAGAGAAGAATGAACCTCCTTGCCATGAAGATACAGAAAATTAACACGCTTTTTTTTCAGAAATTAGGTTAGCTGGATAATCGATATTGTAAACCAGAATTTGGCAGTTCTTAAATCTGAATTCCTATTTGATGAAGAGAGTAGCTTTGTTCTCTCACATCACAGCACACACTCTTTTGTTCCTTGCATCCGTTGACGTAGGCTACCATCATAATTTACTTGAAATTCTATTGTTTTCTGGTGAAAAGAACATGAAAGATCATTATCCAGTTTGGAATTATAATGAGGAGCCGGGATTGTTCATTAAATATCTCCCATTACGTAGACACAAACTCCATTGTTCTTTGCCTTCTTTAGCATCCATTGAGCTGTACAATAGAAAATTTGAAGAACACCTCTATTGGTGTGTCAACTGAAAAGAACAAATTGTTCTTAAAATTCGTTCTTTCGGAGATTTTGAATAATCCATATTTGGTAGAGGGGGGGGGGGCAAGTCATTAGAGCAGATATATCGCATAGTTCTAGAATATTAGGCAGTTGATCCTGTCGTAGCTGGTTCAACTAACTCTCTGAGCTTTAAAAGATTAGAACCATGCACATTTTGCTATGTGCGTGCACTTAACTCAATTTTAGGTTTTTTTGCTTGGAAATTCAGGCAATTCAGGAAATTCAGGCAATTCAGGGTAATTGAAGATATAACACCAACATTGGATTAATCTATGGAGTTCTTTTTCAAAACAAAAACATTTAAGAAATCGTAGAAATTTTGTATAAGTAAGATATTTGGTAACAAAAAAATCAAAGCCTTACGTTAATAAAGATGTGGCAACAAAACACAAAATAAACTTGATGAAGCCTAAAAGCTACAGTTGTTTGGTTTTAACCCTGATTTCTAAAAAAAAATGATTTTTTCAAAAAGGGATTTCTAATTTTTGGTGTCACTTTTTTTACCCTATCAAAGATGCCTGAATTGACAGAACTAAAATAACAAGCAAGTGCAGAGTAAGAACAGAGTGTATGGAAGGTTTGTTTCTAATTATCTCTACCTGGGTTTTAAGTTTCCCCTCTGCCACTAGGCTGTCAATATTTCCAATCTTAGCACTCAGACCACAACCAGGAGAAGCCTGAATATAACTGGGGATAACAGAAAACAATGCAGAAATATGTGGAAAAAGAAGTATTTAGCTTAAAGGGACTGTACAGTCAGTTACCCTCCAATTTTAGAGCGGCATGTTTGATTGACAACGGTGCCCTTATCACTTTTTATCAAGGAATAATAATAAATCCTTGTTTTTTAGCAGAAAATTATTAATTCAGTAGTGGGGTCTTTGTAATAGTTAATTGAGCTGTAGAGCAAATGATGCAAATTGTGAGAATTTTAACACTTTTCACCCTAATCCTTCTGGGGGACACACCCCTCCCCCCCCCCCATCCTCCAGTACGGATCAGACAAAGCTTTTAAAGGTTCCGTTTTGAATCGGGCATTTGTGGACTTTTGTGGCATATTATAGAAATTTTACCTGAAAATCTAAAACCTTTCCAGTCTTCTTCGTGTTCAGGGATTCCTAAACCAAGATAAAAAATATTCAAAAATTTATTGAGTTGAATAACGAAGACTGGAACTTTAAAAACTTATATTCACATTTGTCTAGGTTTGACGTAATGTCGCATAAAGGAGGAAATAATTAGAAGCTTCACACAGTTTTTATTTTAAATTATAATAGGATATTAAATACAGGGTTTATAAGTACAATTCTATAATGCGCCTCTGCTTGTCCGCACCATTTTATCAGATATGTTAACAAAAAGATTATCAAGTACATAAGGTATATGTAATTACATTCAGTACAGCTCACTTTAGTATGCCGAGTCCATTAGCGCCTGATCCAATCAGGGTTCAGCCATGTGTTTGGTGTATATTCTGAACCAATAGTAATTGCATGGCGGTAACATCTATCTTTATATCTAACTCATTATCAAATTAGAGATATCGGCGCTATGACAGTAAATGGAAATATTGACTTCTACTGAAACTATAGTGAGCTGTGTTAAACATTGTAGTGATAATTCAACTTTCAGTGTCATGACAAAACATTTTTAAAAAAGTGTTTATGTTTTCAGTGAAATTACAATTAGAGAATTTACATGTAATATTTCTTTTTCTTGTTAAATACGGTTTTAACTAATGTCCTCTATACTGTAAGACGGGTTTACTCTCGTTGAATACATGCATAATTTCCTTTCAAGTTGTATTCACACCTATTGTACATGATAACCTTTTAGGATATTAAAAAAATACACTTTATCGTCTTTATTGACAAAAAAAAAGGTTTTCACTCATGCAGAAAGAAAAACTCGGAGTTGGAAAACTAATTTTGATATATTTTTTTATCTTCAACAGTCCTGGAAGAATGGTAGTATTGATAAAAAATTTTTTTTTTTAAATTAAAAAAATTATATTTATAAATTAAGAAAGGATGAATCATAGTTTTAATCAAATACTGATAAAGCTGAACCTGAACAAATTTCACAATGGCTGTAGCAAGAGGATGCTCTGATGATCCTTCAGCAGTTCCCAACAGAGATAATACAAGACTGGACAAACATAAACCAATCAGATTATAATAATGTACACAAACAGAAATAATACAAGACTGGACAAACATGAACCTATCAGATTATAATAATGTACACAAACAGAGATAATACAAGACTGGACAAACGTATCAGATTATAATAATGTACACAAACAGAGATACTACAAGACTGGACAAACATAAACCAATCAGATTATAATTATGTACACAAACAGAGATAATACAAGTCTAGACAAACATAAACCAATCAGATTATAATAATGTACACAAACAGAGATAATACAAGACTGGACAAACATAAACCAATCAGTTTATAAAAAAGTTAGAACTGGTTAGAACAATAGAGGTTCCACATTCCAATCTCGAAGTCAAGACTGGAGTTGTAGATTTGTAATGAATCTATCTAAATTTTAATGATTAATTTTTTATCAATTATTTTAAATTTTAACGATGATGGTTTTGTTCCTGATTGAAGCAGCAGGGTCAGGTAGAAGGTCACGTAGCAGAACCAGTTTAGCTACCGTCGGAACTCCGTGAGTTATGGTTCCTAAAAAACTCAAATGTTTAAAAATGAAACCCCTCAAATAAAAAGATATTTTAAATTGTGCGAGGCTGCCGGGAAAACATGTCTGAAGTCCACAAAATACGTAGTTCTGTCACTTGATTGTCGTAATTTGAAATGATGGAAACTCTTTTACTCGATTTCTTTCAAATGAATCAGCGAATCAAAAAAAATACTATTAATAGGGGAACAGAATTCATAGTAAACAATTTAAATATAGACAAGGACATGATAAAAGATAAATTAAGAAAAAGAATGTATTCCATAACAGGGGTCTATACACAATATTTCTTATTTTCCACCTCTCAGCCTCCTCCCCTTATTTTTTTTTGTAATATTCATTGTGATAAACTCGGACTCTTATTTTTTATTTGCATTATTTCCTCCACGCTGGAATTTAAATATTTATTTTCACTTTAAAACTTGGAAAGAAGCTAATTTTGTTCAATTTCATGAAAAAGTTTAGATCTAATTTAAGTTTTTTTTTAACTTTAAATTAAGGGATGTGGCCTCAAGCTCACGCATACAAAAATCTAATTTAATTAGCGAAGTAAAATTACTTATTTACGACTAAAGCGTGGGTTTAAATAGTTTGTAACGTGAGTGGTTTGAATGTTTTCTTTGGTTTAAGGTTGGTTTGGAGGAGAAAATATTTTTTTTAAGGGGGTGACCGGCAATGTATGATAGTTGAACTATGAATGTAGTATTGTGGAGAATTTTTTTAGATACCATTTGAGACCTAGGAGACGTTTTTACAATGCATATTTGATCAGCAAGAGCTCATTTTAATCTTTGAAAATCCTCATAGATTGTTCATTTTTGAGGATAATTTTGAGAATCGGGTTTTTAAAAATTATTAAATAACGACGACAAAAGATAAGTAAAATTATACATTAAACTAGTTAGTTATTTGGGAACAGGTAAGTAATCTTCCTCAGTTACTGATGTCTCATTGTTCACAAACATTTTCTGTAGATTTCCTGGAATCTTTATTGAAAATACATTTGATAAAATTTCAGAAATGTGCAAACAAATTCTTAAAGAATAAAAAGTTTAATATAATGATGAAAAATTAAGAAATGATTCTAACATTGATTTATCGAGAAAATTTTAATTGTGATATATGTTCCTAAACATCTAATTAGTTTACTGCACTTAAATCTCCCCCCCCCCCCCACTCTAAGTGAATATATATTAAATCAGGAATATCTTTAATTATATCTCTATATATTTTGTAAAAATTGAATATTGCGACTCACCAGTTTTGTCAAAAACGACGGCGTTTACTTTATGCGCATTTTCCAGTGGTTCCGCGCCTTTGATCAGGATTCCGTTGATGGCTCCAACTCCTGGGACCAGACAAAGGATATAGATTATAGGTATTTGTAAAAAATCATAAACCAAAATATCATTTTTCTCGAACTTCAGTTTTTGGAAATTAGTTTACAATATCAGCTTTAGAACTAGATGGTTATTCAAAAAATGTTTGTTTATAAAGATGAACAGAATTGCCAGAAACTAAAAGTGAGAAAAATATGAAAGATGTTTTATATGGACGTGCAATATATTGAAATAGGGATTAAAAAATACATGTTTTGAGTTAAAATCTTCTTCTTTTTTATGGAAAAAAACGTAAAAAAATCACAAAGCATTAAAAAAATTCTTTTGGATGTAAAATCTTTTGAAGCTTTGGTCGCAAGTGGTCCTATCAAAATACAAGTTGAGAGCTATCAACAACAGCGAAGTATCAACAACAACCATGTGGAGAAAAATTCCCGTTTCAGTTGTTGTTGTTGTTGTCATTAAGGACTTCAAAATGTTGTTGTTTTTGACCAAAATACATAACAAAAACACGTGTAAATTCTTCTCAATCAAAATGGCAGCGATTTGAAGCAACCCATATTTTCGTTGAATTCTAAAATTTTATACTGGTTTTATGAGACTCATTAAGGACTTTGTAATAGAATAAACATTAATGGGCGACTTCAAAATGACATAACTTTTCATATGAAAAAATAAAAATATTAAAAAAATGTAAGTTCATTTTTCCTTTTTGCTCACCCCTATCCCAGTGTCAGATGGTTTGTGTTATAATATTATGAAAATTGAAAATATTCTCATAACTCTCAAGTGAAAAGCACGTCTAATATTCATTACAAAAACATATTATGTTGGGGGAAATGTTTTTCTTGAACTTCAGGTCCATCTCTTACGAAAATACATTACAATATCATCAAAGTATTCAACTAGAAAGCCTTCAAAATATGATAACACCAAAATATTTTCTAATTTTAAGAAGAACTTAACAATATTATAAAAATAATATGATCTTATAAATTTTCAATATAACTCTTCTCAATATCATAATATTATGTTCTGAGTCCATTTATTTGAACTTTTGATGAATCTTCTCTGACCCCGGCCCATTTATACCTTGAAAATCCCTGTTTTAACCCCATTTATACCTTGGAAATCCCTGTTTTAACCCCATTTATACCTTGGGGGAACCCTGTTCTGATCCCATTTATACCTTAAGGGAACCCTGTACCCTGTTCTGATCACATTTATACCTTAAGGGAACCCTGTTCTGATTCCATTTATACCTTAAGGGAACCCCGTTCTAAACCAACTTAAACATTGGGGAATCCTGTACTGACAAAATTTATTCCTTGGGGGAACCATGCTCTGACCTTATTTGGGTCATTCTTTATCATGGAATTCAATGTCATGGATTTTCTTTAAATTTTGCACACAGCTAGTATGAGAAAACAGTAAATACAAAATTTCAGGCTCCTTTGACCTCTGGTTACTGAGTTATAGCCTCCTAAAGTTCAGGCCTTGAGGTAATTTTCGGCCTGACCTCGCATGCTTTCATTAGTTGTAACTTTTTTCTTAATTAACGCCATAAATTTTAATTTTAATTTTTTTTACTTATTGCATATATTCAGAAATTGTATTTATATTTTTTGACCAGAGGTCACAGGTGCCTGAAATATTAGATTTAATGTTTTCTCATCATATGTCAGCTATGTACAAAGAAAATTCATGAAATTGATCTCCATGATCACCAAGACTGAGTTCATGAAAAATGACCCATTTATACCTTTGGGTAACCCTGTTCTAGAAAAGTACATGCGAAGCAGTTTGCTTTGAAAAGCTAAAAAAATATCAAATCTTTTTTATTTATCCTTTGTCCCTGTTCCAACCATGACAGCTGTAGGAGTCGCGAGCCCGAGCGCGCAGGGACAAGCGATGGCAAGAACTGAGAGCGCCATTCTGAACGCAAACTGCCACGTGATTTCTTCAGGACTAAATCCCTCCCTAGAAAAAAATATGTACTTGTAAATAACTAGCTTTAAAACCCAGCTTTGTCTGGAAAGCAAATTTTTCATGTAAAAGTCAACCCACTCAACATTTGAAAGAGGCAAACTTTGGGAGGAGTTTATTAGACTAACAAAGATTACTACTTTATATATTTAGATTAATGAAGGGCTCCCTTCCGTTTAACTAAAAAATCAAAGTTATACAAATGAAATCAAAATAAAAAATGGTACGTACTGGAAATCAACATTTACCCCCCCCCCCCCTTTATAATCCCCCATACCTCTCCATAGTAGATACTGGAAGATACTGGTTATTAACATAACCAATAAGGACCCAAGAGAGGAGTGTAAGCAGGCTGCATCCAACCACCAAGGGTACAAAGTATCCCGCAATCCTGATTAGAATACAAATAAGAAAACATTGTTTAAGGATCACAACTAATCCTATCTTACCGCTCAAAGATATTCATAAGATTCGAATACTCTTTAAACGGTGAAATTTTTACTAAAAACCGGTTTTGCGCTGTATTTCGTAGATTGGACATATAAAAGTTCAGATTATTCTGGGCCTCAGGAACATTTTTGAGCCATATGATACTTTGTTGTATTCCTAATCCCAAACCAGGGGCAATATAAGTATTTATAAAGTAGTTAAACAATCTCTTATAATAAATCTTTCTTCTCACATTTCAAACCACGTAGTGAACTTACTAAATCAAGAATGAGATATATTATAGATTCTAATAGATACTTATTTATTTTACATTTGAAGTTTAAACGTTAAGTTGTTTATGAGTATGATTCATACCATAAGGAAAATGTTAATTAAGTAGCAAAGAAAGGGTTATTTTTAATGCTTGTGAGGACAGTGAAGGAGGAAGAGAAATTTATTTCATATTAAGGTGTTCTTTAAGTAAAAATTAATTCTAAGCACCTAGTTATCCCTATTACACACATTAAACAATCATCATATGACATCTTTGTTCTGTTTCTTTGTCACAAATACAGGTTTCGTGCATCCATTCTTTAATTCTAAAGTTCTAAAACATTGCTTTACAAAGAAAGGATGTTAAAAGCAATTATTGTTGATGGTATTTTTTACCCTTAGTGTTTTTTTTCACTGTAAACAAGTATTAAAAAATATCCATGCTCGAATGATAATTGAAAGTTTGAACAGAGGACGACATTCGAGCGTTTAAAACCCTTGTCTGGGTGCACGGGGTAAAAATATTGTACAGTCATAATCAGAGAGACCCGGAATTAATTGACAGTTAATCAGGCGATATCTCTAGTAATTGTAAATGCTCAAAAAAGGTAGACCACATTTTGGAAATGGCAGGGCTGGGGCTATTTAGTGATTAGCGTTTCTTCAATCATATTTGAAAATTAGATTGTAAGTCGTAAATCTATTCCGGGTCTTTCTGATTATGACTGTAGAAAGGTAGAATGGATGTAATGTACGATACAGTCACATTAATCTCCCTTAAAAGGAATGAATCAATTACTGTTCTGTTCAATTTTGCCCTATTTGGTCTTCTTGTATACTGTACAACTTGCTCTAGCCTAGCAGCCTTCAGGTCAGTCCGGTAATTCAAATAAACCGGAGTTTTTAGTGTCCTGTACTTCCGCCATTTATGTTTGTTTTCAAACAATTTAACTACCCCCTATGAAATAAAAGATGTATTACTTGTCTGCTAGTTGCTGAATTGGAGCTTTACTAGTCTGGGCCTCTTCTACTAATCTGCACAATCAAATCATTTAAACTTTAATTGGACCAATTAAAACAACCTACCCTGGTTAGGCGGGTCCAAACTGATAAGTTAATTGTGATTGCTTTTTTGTAATACCTCATGCTTTGTAGTTGAATAAAAATATGAATTATGAATTTAAAAACTAGACATAAAATAATATTTTTAAGGGTTTATAGATGTAGTTTCAGTTGACCCTGCTCTTATAGAATGGCATGTACAATTCACAACGGTAACCTTTAAACTAAGGTCTGATCAAAATAAATAAATTAGGTACAATTAAAATGTTTTTTAAAAGGTGAGTTGCGGATTTATGCTAAAGAAAAAATGAAGAAAATCAACCGAATCTTACATTTTTCATTAATCAGATAAAAGTAAAAATGGCACTGTTTTGAATCATATATGCCAAATGAAGGTTGCTTGAAATAAAATGTTTAGTCCCTTTTTTGTAAATTATAGAATAAATAATTTCCTAACAATCTGTGAGATGGCCGTCTCCTCGCCTACGTGGGTTGCTTGGATTAAAATCATTCCGTTCTTGTTCATTGCTCCACCTTGAAAAAAAAGTTAGAAAACAAAACTGTCCGCAGAAAACCCCAACTAAGAAAAATGTTTAAAGTATTACAATGATTGTATACTGCAGTACAGTGTACAGTTGTGACAAAATAACAAAATAAAGAATTTAGAAAATTCTTCATGTTTTACAGTTTAATTTTTGCAAAATCAGATCTGATTCTAATTATAGCTAATAATAAGTTGATTATTTCCATTTGTAGCCCCCATTTGTTATCTTCGACTTTAAATTCTGTGTCAATGAATATGTTTTCTAAAATTACATCCGTCACTTCGCGAAAATTTTACATTTTTCAGGAATTTTTTTTTTTCCGACGATATTTTGATTTTTTTCACATTCCGGTTGAAAAAAAACATTTTTGCTTTTTTCGCAACATTTCGCGTTAATCTGTTTCACGAAAAAAAATTGTCGCAAAAAAAACGAAAATTCAGCAAAAAAATGCGAATTCGCAAAATTGATTTTTGCTGGAAACCCTACATGTTCTGTGTCCTAAATAAACCTTAAACAAGTTGACATACTTACCAATGACCTGCGACCCAACTGTTTTCCTAACTGGCATACTCTCACCAGTGATCAAGCTCTCATCACATGTACTTTCTCCAGAGTACACCTGGAAACATTTAAATTTACAAAATTGAAGCATTTTAAAATAATTTGGAGCTTAATCCTTCCTCTTGATGTACAAGTAATCTAATATATTTGATTTGATAAAATATTTAATTTGTTTCTGGGGTCGAAGAAAATAAAAATTTTCAAAATTTAGTGGCAATAATAAACCAAAAACTGGCCCTACACCAAACATAATTTCCAATCAAGTTTAATGACATTTACGATGAAAAGAAGGTAGTAAGATTCTAGGAAAGATTTTATTATGACTCGGATTCATTTTTGAAGCGCGAATCTGCAACAAAATTAATTCTAAGCACTGCTCTCATCCCATTAAAACAAAAATCCAAGAAGTAAAATAGTAAAGATTTGGAACTAATGGATCAATATATCATTAATCATTATCGTATCGAAAAGAAAAATCTAGAATTTGAAAAGCCCATTTTATATTATTGAGAAGCCTACCTTTCCATCCACCGGTATCTTAGATCCTGGCAGGACTTTTAGCAGATCCCCTGAACATAAACTTTTAGCAGATCCCATAAACATAAACTTTTAGCAGATCCCCTAAACATAAATTTTTAGCAGATCCCCTAAACATAAACTTTTAGCAGATCCCCTGAACATAAACTTTTAGCAGATCCCCTAAACATAAACTTTTAGCAGATCCCCTAAACATAAATTTTTAGCAGATCCCCTAACATAAACTTTTAGCAGATCCCCTAAACATAAACTTTTAGCGGATCCCCTAAACATAAGCTTTTAGAAGATCCCATAAGTCATAAACTTTTAGAAGATCTCCTAAACATAAACTTTTATCAGATCCCCTAAACGATCTTTTTTTTACGAAACAATCGTTTTTCAGTAGTCAGGACCTGTAGTGTAGAATGAATGTATATTTTTAGAATTCTCCTGACGGGGAATGATTTTCAAAAATATAATGGAAAAATGAAAAGTTGGACATTTTTACTTTTTTCATCTCCAAAATTTTATTTATTTTTCCCTCAATGTCATTACTGTTGAAATTCCTTTAAACTTTAAACTTTACACCCTTTGCCTTTTATTCTTTCCTGATTAACTTGCTTTAACTTTACCTTAAACTTTACACTCTTTACCCTTAATTTTTTCCTGGTTACATCCTTTTACCTTAAAATATTCACTCTTTACCCTTAATTCTTTCCTGGTAACATCCTTTAACCTTAAACTATACACTCTTTACCCTTAATTCTATCTTGGTAACATCCTTGTACCTTTAAGTTTAAACTATAAACTCTTTACCTTTTTTCATTTGTTTTTATCAGGAATGTGAAAACCCAATTGGGATAGGATTGAAGGTAAAGAACTGGGATAGGGTTGAAGGTAAAGAACTGGGATAGGGATGAAGGTAAAGAACTGGGATAGGGTTGAAGGTAAAGAACTGGGATAGGGTTGAAGGTGAAGAACTGGGATAGGGTTGAAGGTAAAAAACTGGGATAGGATTGAAGGTAAAGAACTAGGATAGGGTTGAAGGTAAAGAACTAGGATAGGGGTTGAAGGTAAAAAACTAGGATAGGGTTGAAGGTCAAGAACTAGGATAGGGATGAAGGTGAAGACCTGGGATAGGAATGAAGGTAAAGAACTGGGATAGGGTTGAAGGTAACGAACTGGGATAGGGTTGAAGGTGAAGAACTAGGATAGGGTTGAAGGTAAAGAACTAGGATAGGGTTGAAGGTGAAGAACTAGGACAGGGTTGAAGGTAAAGAACTGGGATAGGGTTGAAGGTAAAGAACTTTGATAGGGTTGAAGGTAAAGAACTTGGATAGGGTTGAAGGTAAAGACTAGGATAGGGTTGAAGGTAAAGAACTGGGATATGGTTGAAGATAAAGCACCGGGTTAGGGTTGAAAATAAAAACCTGTGTTAACAAGATCTGCATTGATAAGTTTCTCTGCTTCTATTTCTCCCTCTGTGCCCAGGGTTACCAGGATTGCTTCAGTAGCCTAGATATAAGAAATCTCAAGATAATATAAAGCACAGCGTCGAAATATATGTGTCCCAGAAACATGAGAGAAACCGTCAAAAAAAAATAAGAAAAAATATCAAAATGGCACACCTCAATTTGTCTACAAAATTGGATGCATTAAAAGTTGTCTCTTAAGGTAAGAAGAGCTTTATATAAAATCTAAAAAAATTCGCTTTTTAGGAAAATGTTGTAGGCAAATAGTATCACAAAGTGGGAAAAGTCGTAGGCAAATAATATCACTAAGTGGGTAAAGGCGTAGGCAAATAATATCACTAAGTGGGTAAAGGCGTAGGCAAATAATATCACTAAGTGGGTAAAGGCGTAGGCAAATAATATCACTAAGTGGGTAAAGGCGTAGGCAAATAATATCACTAAGTGGGTAAAGGCGTAGGCAAATAATATCACTAAGTGGGTAAAGGCGTAGGCAAATAATATCACTAAGTGGGAAAAGGCGTAGGCAAATAATATCACTAAGTGGGAAAAGGCGTAGGCAAATAATATCACTAAGTGGGAAAAGATGTAGTAAAATAATATCACTAAGTGGGAAAAGTCGTAAGAAATAATATCACTAAGTGGGAAAAGGCGTAGGCAAATAATATCACTATGTGGGAAAAGTCGTAAGAAATAATATCACTAAGTGGGTAAAGGCGTAGGCAAATAATATCACTAAGTGGGAAAAGTCGTAGGAAATAATACCACTAAGTGGGTAAAGGCGTTGGCAAAAAATATCACTAAGTGGGAAAAGTCGTAGGAAATAATATCACTAAGTGGGTAAAGGCGTTGGCAAAAAATATCACTAAGTGGGTAAAGGCGTAGGCAAATAATATCACTAAGTAGGAAAAGGCGTAGGCAAATAATATCACTAAGTTTGTAAAGTTGTAGGAAATAATATCACTTAGTGGGAAAAGGGGTAGGCAAATAATATCACAAAGTGGGTAAAGGCGTAGGCAAATAATATCAAAAAGTGGGAAAAGTCGTAGGAAATAATATCACTTAATTTCCCGGTATTTAAATAAGAATATCAACGAAATATTTGATCAAACAAAGGTTTATAGGGTATTATTGTAAATCCGACAAATCATTCTATAAATGGAAGGTCACTTGAAATTTGGCTTACAGCCCCTTTAATCCTTATTTTGTGATGTTTTTACAATATATGATAAGTCATTTTATAGTTATTGAGAGATTGTGAACAACTTGTTTAAAATTCAAGAGATGTCTGTCTTCAGGAATTCTCTAATCATGGTTTACACATCCTGAGAAAAACTAATCAACTAAGGTTTAAGTGCTTAGGATCCGGTTTTGAATCCGGATACGTTGGATCTGCATGCAACATTTTGGCTTCCCGGAGCCGCAAAAATATACGAATCCTTCAAAATATCCATCAAAAACTGCAGAACAAAAAAACTTTTTATCTCAAACACAAAATCCGAACTAATGAAAAAAGAGAGACTATAAAAATTTTCTTATCACTGAATGGTTCATATAGTTTTAGAATATAAATAAGCGTAAAAAAGGAAGAAAAATAATTAGAAAATTCTTCTTTTGTTCAAAAAATCAGAAAATATTTAAGATATTTTCATGACCTAGATCCGAATCCGGATCCATTTTTTCCAGTGCATATCCGGATCTTTATCAAATTAAATGGATCTTAGGCACTGCTAAGGGTTAAAGGTAACCCAGCTTCCTGAGGTTAAGATTAAATAGCATTAGACCAGGAATCTCTATCTTGAATTTATTGTTTATCAAAATTTGATATTTTTCAAGATCTCTAATTACCTCTTACAAATAAGACCGATAATTTTAGATCAGGCTCTTGAAAGAGAAATATTAGAATACAAGAGATAGAAATTAAATAACAAATATGAATTAGTTGAACTAAAAATTCTTAAATATTTTCTTAGTTTGAAACAAGTTCAAATTGCTAACTTATGTTTAACTAACTGAAGTGCCCGGCGTAGCCCGTGGATAAAAGAGAAAATTTTTGAAAAAAAATCAAATTTTTTTAGCCTATGAGAATATCTACTTTGAAAACCACAATATCTATTACCTTTTTATTAAATTAAAAAAACGGTCATAAAAGATTGAAAATCACTGTTTAAATTTTATGGAAAACTCCAACAATAACCCAATGACGGTTTCAAAAATCTTAATTTCTTGAATATCTTTTTTTCTTGAGTATAAAGGTTTCTGCGAAAAATCCAAATCATCAAGCAAAGAATCTAATGATGTCAAAAAAAAGATACTCATTTTGGGCCAATTTTCTTTCATTTAACTTATAAACTAAACATTTACAAGATAAAAAAAATCGTTTCCAGCCATTTAAAAATTAGGTTTTGGGGCAAAAGAAAAACCAAACTATCACCGACCGCAATAACTGATGGACAAAGGCAACTCCAATTACGTCCGCGTGTAAAATATGGAATTTTAACTAGATGGACAAAAAGACAAACATACAGACTTAAAAACTGAGACTTACTTTGAATCAACACTAAGAAAATCGTTGTTAAAGGACTTGAAACTATCTTATAATGCACCAAATGCAAACATATTTCTATTCCATGATTTAAAATTTAAATCTTACAAAAACGTGCGAACTATAAAGTTTGTTTTCTAAGATGATGTAAATTTTTCAAATTTTTGAGGAAGGATACCTTAAGTTGTAAAAGTTTTGAGAGTGCATCTGATGTTTTAGATTTAGCAATATGTTCCAACCATCTACCCAGGGAGATGAACAGGAACAGCATGGGCGGGGTGTCAAAGAAGGTCATCGGTGAGGCGTTCTCCTGCATTATCATGCTCGCTAGCACCACCCCACAGCTGTATGTATATGCAATAGTGGTTGCTAGAACCACCAACACATCCATATTCGTGGTTCCGTGCTTAATAGCGGCCCAAGCCTATCAATACAATTCAATCTTCAAATTTGAAGTAATAAAAGGGATTGTTTGCTTTCATCAAATTTTAGGGTCACACATCTGAGACCCAGAATTTTCAATGATTTTTGTAAAATGTTCATTGAAAACCGATTATTTAGTGAATTTAGCGCATTTTTTTCTTTAAAATGTTCATTGAAGTTCGATTTTATATTTAATTAAGATTTCTATGTTCTATAAAGTATAAAAAATAGACATATATGTATTAAAAACTAATACTAAGAACGACTTATCTCTGGAAATAATTGAATATCTTTTCGATTCAAGTCAATGTCTTTAGCAATGTCAGATTCACAATGGTATCCTTGAAACCTTTATTTGATCAATAATGTGGAAGATATTGTCGTTTTTCTGGGTTTATAAATGCTCAAGTCACTTTTGTAAAAAAAAACCATCAGTTTTCAAAAATATAAACATTGATATATAATTTACACTTGATCAAACAAAGCTTTAAGGGTACCGTTGTGAAACAGGCATTGCCATATTTGTATGGAGGATCACTTGAAATTACACAAACAGTCCCTTTAAGTCAGTGACATAAAGATTCATTCATCTAGTGATAGATTGCCGCAATAAATTTGTCCATAAAATTTTACAATTATATAAAACCAATATTTAGAAATATTTTAGATAAGTGCTCTTAAGCTCAGTTTATAACTACAATTTAGTAAACATAAACCTCAATTTTAGGAATCATATCTTCTTAGGCTCTTAAAGGGACTGTAAAGGAAAAATGATAGGGGGTATAGACTACCTAAGAACTTTAGGAGTAGATCGAGACCTATAAGAGTTCTATCTGATGTTCCTGTCTAAGAAATTGATAAAAAAAAAAAACTGTGTCATACCAAGTGATACAGACGAAGAAACGTGACTGCCATTGGTGGGATACGGGCATATTAATTATATTATTAATTTTATCTTTTAAAAATAAAAAAAAATTAAATTCAAAAAATGATAGGAGCAATCCTGAGTTTTTCAGGCCTCTCTGAGATATCGTCGTTTTCAGATTGCGTATTTGCTGAATATGATCTGTTTAGAACTTAGAGTATAAAACCAAATCTTATAAATATAAGTTTTGGAATAACTTTGACACTTTGACACATTTTTATATCAATTTCTCGGGACAGAAAAATCAGATAGAATTGCTATAGGTCTCTTTCAACTCCTGAAGTTCTCAAGTTTCAGTCTATACTCCCAATCATTTTTTCCTTTAAAGTCTCTTTAAACGCATTTTTAGTATGTTCTTATTTTGGTTGGTTCCAGTGCTTAGGGTACCATTCCATTTTAATGCGGATCCGTCATAAAAAATGTAACAAATTGTTAAGAACTATTGATTATATCAGCAAAAAAGGTTTATTTTATTTTCAACCTTTCCATCAATTAAGTCCAGTCTCTTTTCTTGTTTTGTTTGTCCATTCAACAATGACTATTAATATTATGAGATGTTTTACAAAAAAAAATTATAATTTTTCTTTTTTAAGAAATTGTAAAAATGAGTAGTGAGGAAAATACATGCTTTAGAAGAGATTTGATTTAATTTGTTCCTGAATATAGAAGTGTCGACCACCAATAAACTGAACTGGGGTAGAGAGTAGAAACTGTAAAGCATTCTCTAAAATTCAAGACAATATTAATATATTTGCAACAACAAAAATGATTATAAAAAAGTGAAATTCTTAAAGAAGCGGAATTCGAGAGAAGACTAGAAAGTCGTCTTTGACCTTTGAAAAAGTTCACGGAATTAATTTTATCTTAAAACAATTATCACAACATGAGCAGTCCTGCCATTTCCAAAATTTGGTCTACCATTTTTGTGTTTTCATGGAAGACAAAAATTATCTCGTTAAGACCTAGACAATTTTGGTTTCCTTTTATAAATTGACATTTTTACAAGCTTCTTAATATCTGCAGTAGTTTTTAAAGCACGAAAATAACATAACCATAACAATAACTACAATAAAACCATAACAATAACTATGATAAAACCATAAAGTAATAACAAAAAAAATATCAATCAGTTGTCTAATCAAATTAGATTGACTAGAACTGAAAAGATTGAGCCTACTGGAAACCTGAATTCTAGGAAATCTTGAATTAAATTGATATTGTTTAGTTCAGACAAAAGCTTTAATATTTACAGCAATTCTTTCTAATAAAGAGAATAAGAGAAATATTGGCAATTTAGAAAAGAAAATCTTATTGTGACCTCTGATCTAGTGTTGGGGATTCAGCTCCAGCTCCTTTTGTTTTTCATCACTTTTAAGATTTTTTTTAATTTTTAAAGGTTCCGCAACATATTGAAAAGTGTTACAAAAGTCAAAACTGTTTATTCTTAACATTCGCTTTGATTACACTATTTGTAAGGACGTATTAAAAACCATTTAGAAACCCCATCTTTTTTTTGGTTTACTTTTCAGTTAAGTTTTGCAAATATCTTCTCTTAGGGTTAAAATTTCGCAAAGTGTAAAAAAGGAAATGTTCAGAATTACCACTTTTTAAATTTGCATTTTTTCAAAATTTGTGGAACCTTTAGTCTGTAAAAAAACGAAATTATATGTCCAAAACTACAGGTCTAGCTTACCTAATGAAAGGCCAGGAATAAGGCAGCAGAGGTCTGCATGCAAATGTTCGTCAGAGCTCATTCTGACAAAAATACTTGTTGATTAACCTTTCATTTATTCTTCCTTTCATTAATTGTTCCTCTTTATTCATCTTTTCATTCTTTTATTTCTTTATCCTTTCCTTCATTTTTCGTTCTTCCTTTCAGTCTTCCTTTCAATCTTCCTTCATTTCTTCCTTTTATTAATTTTTCCTTTCATCCTACCTTTACTTCTATTCATTCATCTTTTCATTCTTCCTTTCATTCTTCCTTTCATTCTCCCTTTCGTTCTTCCGTTCATTCTTCCTTTCATTCTTCCTTTCGTTCTTCCTTTCGTTCTTCCTTTCATTCTTCCTTTCATTCTTCTTTTCATTCTTCCTTTCATTCTTCCTTTCGTTTTTCATTTTATTCTTCTTTTCATTCTTCCTTTCATTCTTCCTTTCGTTCTTCCTTTCGTTCTTCCTTTCGTTCTTCCTTTCGTTCTTCCTTTCGTTCTTATCTGCGTACATATTGAAACCGGTTCTCTCTGGGCGGAATTTGTAAACAAGAATAGAAGCATCAGTGTTTGTTTAGTATCAAGGAGGATAAAAGCATTGAATTTTGAAAATTTTGATAACTCGCATAATAGTTTCCTATGACCAGAATATTTCATGGATTTTTATGTGAAAGATGGATCCCATGCCAGGCTGTGACATGAGATCCATCTTGTGTTTACATTACCGCCCAGAGACAGTACACTGCAGTACAAAAGATGCCAACACCTCTGAAATAACTTTCCTTGCATTATAACCTTGCAGGGGTATATGTTTTTAATTGCAAAATTAAGCATCAATTGTACACTATACAAGGATTTACTTTTTTAGATCATTTCTTGTCCTCTTATAAATAATTTATTTTCCCACTTTTTTACTGGTATGGGGGAGGAAATTTTTGTTGTAAAGGTTTCACCTCATCATGAAATACATCATTATCACCATACAAGGAACTCCGAAAATTAATGAAACAAAGAATGATGATCTCCACTTCTTGATATCTTCACTATGGTCCAGATAAGAGTTCTACAATTAGTTTCAGAGTAAAAATATGGAGATAAAATCTATAGGAATTCTTCTAATCCCCTCGGTAAATATATAATATTAGTTTCAGAGTAAAAATATGGAGATAAAATCTATAGGAATTCTTCGAATCCCCTCGGTAAATATATAATGCAGACTTGTTTGTAAACGTTAACAATGCTGAGTTAATCAGGCCAAAATTTTATGTGGCAACTTACATGAACACAGGGAAGGTTTATGGATGGATAAAGCTGAAAATTGTTACCCGGAAAATAATGTTGTCATTCGTTATTTTGACGATTTGCTCAAAATTAACAGAAAATACCCCGAAATACGATTTTACAAAGAAAAATGGCAGATTGAAGAGCAACGGTTAAAAGCTAAAATCGTTACAAGAAAATGAGCGCGAAGAAAAGATTTTTTCTATAAAATGTACAGTAAAGTTTTTTTTAAAGTCTCGCAGGTCAAATTTTACCTGTGTGGATCGCTGGGCGATCATGCACTGGAAGCCAAGATCATTTACCGCTGCAATAATATCACGAGGACCGAGAACTGATCTGATAATGATTTTTTACTTTGAATTTTTTGTTTCAAAAATTTATTTTAGAGCTAAAATGTCTTATTTGTTCCTGAATAATGATAATGAAAATGATATCTGTGATAGTAAATATTCAACCTGTCAAACTTGATTTTAGCACGTTCCGTTGCAAGCGCTACAGACACTGAGATTATTCCCTGTCTTTTCCCCAGTACGCTCTCAATCTGGTGGACACAGCTACTACACGTCATTCCCTGGAACAGAGGAATATTCTTCCAATCCTTTATTCCCCAATATTGAAAATGGATAGATTATGGATGGAATTTAGATGGAATTTAGATGGAATTTAGATGGGATTTGGATGGAATATGGATGATATATGGATGAATACTGAAAATGTTATGGATAACAGTTTCTTAAAAAAATGTTCGCCCCTTCTCATCCAACCAGTGGAATAAGACCTGCAAAAAATATCCCTTAAAGTATTTTCCCATTTTGTTAGAGAAGACAAATTCATTAATAAACAAAATTATGAATATTTATTATTTTCTTAGAAGTTTTCGGAGATTCAAAATAATGGTGTTATTTAGTTTGAACTACTGCCGTTTGAACTATTGACTTTTTGAATTGGTCGTTTGAACTATTGCAAGTGGTACCACGTGTGGTAGTTCAAACGATATCATTCTGTGCGCTTTTTAACAATTTGTTTGCTCATTTAAAATATTTTTAAAAAAATAATTCAATTGGGCCGAAAAATTTTTAGTTTATTTAGCAAACAAAATAGTTCAATATAAGCCAACAAATAGTTCAAAGGAGCCAAAAAATAGTTAAAATGAGCCAAAAAAAAAATTCAAATGAGCAAAAAATATTTCAAATAAGCGAAAAAAATAATTCATATGAGCAAAAAAAAAATAGTTCAAATGAGCAAATAAATAGATCAATGAGCAAAAAAATAAGTTCATATGAGCAAAAAAACAGTTCCAATGAGCCAAATAATAGCTCATATAAAAAAGCTTTGTTCAAATGAGCATAAAATATAGTTCAAATGAGCAAAGAAATAGCTCATATAAGCAAAGAAATAGCTCATATGAGCAAAAACAAAGTTTTCAAATGAGCCAATAAATAGTTCGGTAATTTCCTAGCAAATTTTCTCATATATTTTAACAAAATAAAAACATTCTTTGAAAACTTCAGATCTTATTGTTCAAAATTGCGTTCAAAAATCTTTGGCATTTTACTCTTTAGAACAAAAATACCAAGTTCATTACAAAGAACATTCTTGTATAAGATTTCATTACAAAGAAAATTCTTGTTAAATAAGACAAGAATAGCACTGAATTTTAGTTAACAATACTTAGTAATAAGATTATTATATATGTAACAACGTGTTACGGTGAAACCAAAAAAGTCAAAAAGGGAACCAACTTAGGGAGTTTGGAAAAGTATAAAATAAATATTTAAATGTTCTTGTTTTTTTAATAATTCCTTAAATTGTACTTTACGGATCTAGGTTACGGATTCCGGATTCGGATATGATCTCAACGCATCACATTCCCACAGAAAACTCCTCAATTTACTTGATTGAGTAGAACTATTGTTTATATTTTCTAAAGATAATGTTTACGAAAATTAATTATCATTCGTTAACTTCAATAATTTACGTCTTTTGTTTTCATACAGAAGCTAATGAGCGCCACGCCCCCCCCCCCCTGTTGCAGTGTAGAGTTTTATTAATTATTTTACCTTAATTGAGAGTTGTATTGAACCGTCACTGGTTTCACAATCTATTAGTTCAGAGAGAAAGCCTAAAACGCAAAATGTTTCATTAAATAATACATTTCAAATAATTAGGGTTTTCTGCGAAATTAGAATTTCTAAGTTCAAAAAGAACCAAATAAGCAATGCGAAAAAAAATTTCATTAGACTTTCTTAAAATGTGTTTTTAATCGTTTATGAAATACTTCTCCGATAAACTCCAAAAAAAATGGAAATGTCTGGGTCAGACATCAAAACTCACGATTTTTTTTGTGCTCAGTTAAACAAGACAAAATTAAAAGTCTAACTTAAAATATTGTTTAAAGGAGGTTACCGGCAATGTATAGTAGTATTAGTAGTAATGTATTAAATTTTTTAGGAAAAAATTTGAGACCTATGAGACGTTTTTACGGTGCATATTTGCTCAACAAGAGCGCGATTTTAATCTTTAAAATCCTCATAGATTGTTCATTTTTGAGGGATGATTTTGAGAATCGGTTTTTAAAAATTATTCAATAACGACGACGAAAAAGGTAGTAAAAATTCGACAGTAAACTAATTAGTTGTTAAAGAACAGGCCGAGAAAATAAAAATTAATTACTATGTAATGTCTCATTGTTTACAACCGTTTTTTTGTCGATTTCCAGGAATTTGTATTGAAAAGACGACATTTGAAGAATTTGAAGAAATCTGCGAATGAATTCATAAAGAATAAAAAATTCTTCATTATAATGTTGAAAAAGAAATAATTGACTCTAACATTGATTTATGAGAAAATTTCAATTGAGAAAAATGTTCCTAAACATCTAATTGGTTCACTGTAGAATTTGTTTTATATTTTTTCGTCGTTATTTAATAAATTTTTAAAAATCAATTCTCAAAACGTAACCACCCAAATTGATGATTTTTAACGTCGACTTTGCGCTAAAACTCAGTAATTATACATCATTAAAACGTTTCATATGTCTCAATTAAATCCTGAAAAATTTCTCCACAATACTACATTCTCAGTTCAACTAACCTACATTGCCGGTCATTCCTTAAAAAAAACCCTCCTCCCAGATTAAAAAATAAAAGATTAATTATTACAATGAAAAGGTGAAAAAGGTTGTATTATACCTAAAGCTGTGATACTGCTTGCAATATCTTGATCTGAAACTAAAGATGAATCGTATTCAACATCTCCCTGTACACCGTACAATTAACATATTTAATATTTGTATTCAAAAATTGTTTAACAGTTTTAAAGTGTTAAATTTCATGTGACCATGCAAAGACAATGGCCGATTTAAAACTGTGTTCTTGAAACTCTTAAATGATCAATAATAAGTAAGATATTTTCTAGGTTTAGAAGTATTTATTTGTGATACATTCTTTCTGTTTTCCTGTAGTAGGAAATCCGCAAGTCTCAAAATTGGAAATAGTTAGATTTTAAAATTATTAACAAGTCTAATTTATACTTCATCACGCAAAACTATAAAGGGTACCAATGTGTTCCGAGCCATCTTTGCATGGAGGATAAATTGTCATTACGCTTACAATCCCTTTAATATAACGGCCTTGGTTAAATACAGTTTTCTTTCTTTTGCTTTTCCCTTTGATCGTCAACTCTTTAATGAAAAACTTGAATGCACTTCCCCAAATAAAAAGAAAATTCGACAATTATAAGTTAATAAATTACAAAAATTAGATCCAAAATATTCAACATAGGATGTGACTAATAATAAGATCTAAAACTCGTAAATTATGACGAAATTAACGATTCCAAGTTTAAATTAAGTCGTCTGCCTTGAATGTGGTTCTTAAATATTTTTCTCTTTGATTTGACTAACTTGCAGGGTAGTCTTAGATAACAGATGTATAAGGAAACAGACAGTATTTAAATTCCCTACAGTCGTCTTTGAAGTCTCATCCTTTGCGGGTAACCTTGTAGTACCCTAAGAGCGCAACGCATTAACATTTAAATATAATTTTAAATACAAATTGTAATTGTTCCTTAGAAGCCATGAGTGCAACACGTACGGAGCGGACACCGTTTATCTTGAGTGCATGCTTCTCTATAGCAGCTACGCAGCTAGCGCAGGTCATTCCAGTTATACGCAGGGAACACTTGGACAATCTTATTCCATTATCTACAACAAGGATATCAGGATTTTAATAAAAGTCAAACGGCATACGGTTATGACCAATTTTTTTTGTGGTAACTCGCATGACACCAGGTTAATATGAATTATTTGTTACGGGTCAGAAAAAAAAACTTTGCATCAATAATCAATTTTTTTACTAACTATGAATATCCGCCTATGGAAAATCTGCAAAACGTTTTTAATGGTATTATTTAAAAAAAATTTTTACAGAAGATGGAGAAAGTTTAACAATAAAAAGCTATGATTATTCAGTATTCCCCTGTAAACCTAAAATATTTATACAATATACAATATACTATACATGAATCAGTTGTGATTATCAATCCACCATAATTACTTAAAAATCAGACTTAAAGGGAATGTAAGCGGAATTTAAAGTAACCCTCCATGCAAAGATGGTATCGCTCGATTTACAACGGTACGGTTTCTCTGCTAGCGACGTACGCATTCCTTGTTTAAAAGAAGCAATGGAGAAAATCAGAGAAATAAACACTTTTCGAGTCATAAAAACGACGGTTTCTTCCTCATTATAGATGAGAACCGTTGTAAATCGGGCAATGTCACCTATGCATGGACCGGAGGGTCACTTGAAATTACGATTACACTCCCTTTAAATGGATAAAACTATCTTATTGAATAAAAATATGAAATTTCTTACCTCCGCTAGATCTCAGGTAATCGGCAGGGGTAACTAACTCACAAGAAATTCTAAATATAAATCAAGATTTAAAATAATTTAAAAATATTGCTTTATCAAAAACAAGGGGAAAATACAAATATTAATAAATAAACTAAATTTGCATATCAAAATTATTAAATTAAATCTGGAAAAAGTACCATGGTCAAGTCAGTTAAATAATGTTTATTGTCCAGAATGAGAAAACTCCAGAAAAAAAGTATAATATCTACAAAATCGAGCAATAACAATAACAATAACAAAAATAAAAATAAAATGCCCCAGGATTTAACGTTAGTGTTGTGGGTTGCCACCCCCACCTACCTTGAATCCTGTTGCCAAAACTGGAGTATTTGAAAAGGAGTAATTTTTCCATTTTCATATTCTACCTTTCCACCTGCCATTAAATAATCCATTAATTAGGTTATCAAACGCAATTAAGGACCACTTAAATTATTTAATTATTTTCCGTTGAAAATTCTCTTTCTTTTTTGACAAAGATTATTCGAGGATCGATGATAAGATTAAAAAAAAATAAAAACTTACTGAAAACCATAAAAATAAATATAAAATTATCCGAATTGATCAATGTAAAAATTAAGAAAATTAAGATACATCCCGGATATATCCCAGCTACATCCCAGATACATCCCAGATACGTCCCAAATACATCCCAAAAATATCCTGCTAAGTTCTTGGATACATCCCAAATACATCCGGATACATTCCAGATACATCCGGATACATTCCAGATACATCCGGATACATTCCAGATACATCCGGATACATTCCAGATACATCCGGATACATTCCAGATACATCCCGGATAAATTCCAGATACATTCCAGATACATCCCAGATACATCCCAGATACATCCCAGATACATCCCAGATACATCCCGGTTACATTTTAGTTACATTCCGATATATCCCGGATACATCCTGGATATATCTCAGATAAATCACGAAAATATCCTTGTTAGGTCTTGCATACATCCCAGATACATTGAAGATACATTGAAGATATATCGAAGATACATCAAAGATACATCAAAGATACATCAAAGATACATCAAAGATACATCAAAGATACATCAAAGATACATCAAAGATACATCGAAGATACATCGAGGATACATCGAGGATACATCGAAGATACATCGAAGATACATCGAAGATACATCGAAGATACATCGAAGATACATCGAAGATACATCGAAGATACATCGAAGATACATCGAAGATACATCAAAGATATATCGAAGATACATCGAAGATAGATCGAACCGAAGATGCATAAAATATACATCCCGGATCCCGAATACACCCCCAATATTTGCAGAACACAGACCTGATCCATCTGACAATATATCACAGCACAGTATCCCAGGTTCTTTCTGGAGTTCAACACTAAAACAATTTTAGTAAGTAACCCAACAAATAGTCTGAGACATTTGCATAATTTGAATAAATTAAATATCAAAACAGAAGCCTCAGAAATCAGACTAGAAAATAATCTATCTAAAATGTCAAAAAATGCACAAATATTTAGAAACTATCAAATCAATCAAGCCAACATTAAAAGTCAAGGTTTCAAAACTTATTCATTTGAAATTTCAGCATAGTTAACTGAAATAAGTTGATTTATAAAGTTTACACGGTTTTATTTATTTAATCACTGCATTCACACACGAAAGAATTCTATAAAATATTTGTTTGTTTTTTAGACTAATAAAGTGCATTTTTTATTTTGGTTGATTTAGGAAATGCAATATTGCAATATGTGAGCAAAATTGCTTCTAATAATCAATTTTAAAATGTACATAATTGATTCGGACCCCCCCCCCCAAGGTGGGGTATTTTTGGGGGTCAGGTGACTATTTTTGTCACAATACTCCTCTTAAAATGGATTTTTTTGTGTTTCATGTTGAGAATGGACAAAATGAATAAATTCCTATAATCTTTTCATTTACAAACATTGTATGAATTGTAGCTTGCATTGATTTATAATGATTTCAATTTATAATTACTTTTCTCGTTTTTTTATCATTAAATGGATCCTGTAATCCCGCAATATATTTAGATGTCGTCTTTGTTACAGCGAGTATTTCGGAAGAAAACCATATACTTTATAGCAAAAGTACAAGAAAGCACTTGGGTTTCGGGATAATCTAAATATATAAATAGATTCTAACAGCCATATAGAAAAGATTTAAGGGCTCCAGCAGCACCCCAAATCCTTGATTTAGTCAGAATAGCGTGTTGAAAAATCATATTTTAAGAGTTTTCAATGAAATAGCCGGTTTTCGGTCGAAATTCTTAACATAACATTTAAACAACTTAGAGACTTCTCTCAAAAAATAATTCTTAAGCCTTATTTGATAAGAGGTTTATGGAATAAATTCATTTTGCATGACCTTCTCCTAATACCCCACTTTTTCCATGTACCTTCTTTTAAAAATAGCTTGCTTCGGTCCGGTTAAAATTATAAAACACACATCCGCCTGGTAAAGTAGACTGGAGAAGGCGGATAAATCATTCTCCGCCCCCTTAAGAAGGACGGAAACATCTTCACTCATGTCAACTTGAAGATAAACAGTTTCATCCTGGATATGGATATCCTGACCAGGTTGAGAAAAATCAACAAAATAAAATAAAATAATGATAGAAAAGGCAAAAAAAGGAATTTATATTTTGTATGTATGGAAACTGGAAAGGATATAAAAATCCAACAACACTTATTGGATACATCCCCTCCANTTTCAGAAAAGGACGACCTTCCGTGATGAAAGGTTAGATTTGGGACTAATGATAGATAGATTCTCACGGGACATTCTCCTTTTTCAATAACGCCCCCTTTTTTAAAAAAGAAAGTTTTTATACAATTACTGCCAAAGAATGTAATGAAAAATAAAGAATTTGTACAGTGTACACCTAATAAAAACTGATCCGTGTTATTTTTTTCTCGAAAATATTTTAAACAAACATTAAGTTGATGTTTAATTTTTTCTTGGAGTAGTTTCAAGTCACAATTTAATGTAATGACAACTCTAGTCTTGTGAGATTCACAACGTTACCCTTCAAACTTGTATTCAAAATATTTAAAGTCCTCAATCAATCTCATTGCTTTTCTATTTGGCATAGGAATAATTTCTGCCTTTTTATTCATCACAATTCGCTTTTGAAACCGTAGAGCAGAGGAGGCTCCTGAGGGGGGGAGGGGAGGGGGAGGAGGGTAGTACCGTTGGAAAATTGGAGGGACTTCCTATTCCTTAGAAAATTGAGGGTATACTTAAATTATGTTAACAAACTTTTTAAGCCTGTTTTTGAATAATTTCCAAGTTAGGGAGAAATCTTAATAAAATGAATAATTCTCATTCCTTAATAAATTTATTCTGGGGCACAGGTTCTTTATTCTTCCTTGCAAACTTAAGCCATCGCAGCTGGGGCTTAACCCCGTCCAGACTGGCGGAGAACTTTGCAGGATTCAGCTTAGTGATTAGAGGAGGTATATCAGACAGCAGAAGCAAGTGGGCGTCATACGTCACTTCTGCGCATGCGTCCTTAAGGCTGACCTTCACATTCTCTATTCCTGAGATACAAATATCAAGGTTAAAAATGTTCAACTCTATCAATCAAGTTTAAATCTAAAAGGGAACTCTGTAATGCGTTTGAAAGATCAGAAAACTAGTCATTAAAAAGCACTACTTTGCAAAGAAAGCCGGAGATCTGTAATATCCAAAGCTAGAAGTTAAAATTTAAAAAGCATATAAACCTCAGTCGCTGAAAAAAAACGGGAATTAATTATTATCATAAGAACATTGCTATTTCAATAATTATTTTCAAATACCTTGATGCTGAACAAGATTTGTTTCAATATTTCTGACACAGGACTGACAACTCATCCCTTGAACCTTAATCTTCTCCGTCCTGAGCTCAGGGTTTGAGAACTCGGTCAGGATCTGATCCAGGTATACCTCCAGGCACTCAGTACTCCAAATATATCTGGAGAAACCCGCACATCTTTGTAACATGAGAAGAACTTTATCTAAAAAACATCCACCACTCCTTATCACATAAAAAGGTCATTTAAGAGGAATTACTTTATCCCGTTAGTCAATGAAAAACAAGAATTTTATTTTGACATTGAGGATCACTTTAACTTACATTAACATTCCCTTTAAAATTTTATTTCATTAACATATTTGACCATTTCAATATTTCAAGTTTCAAATATATATATAGTATAGTATTTATTTTCAAACATAAAATACAAAATAATAATGTATGATGGTTCAGCTAAAAACAAAACACAAAAGAAAATTTAATATGAGCCAATTGAAAATATAACGTTTGATAATTTTGTTCTGATCGGTATTTGTTGAAACAAACTATTCATATTGAAATCTTAACTGAATATATATTCATTGTAGATACTTAGTCAGCACTCAAATAATCAAAACATTTTCAGGAATGCATTCATTGAACATTTAAATACAATACATATTGATTCAGCAAAAGTAGCAATGTATTCTCGTTGACTGTATATAAAGTAGCAATGTAATCATTTGATTTAAAAATCTACCCCCTTAGTATTTTGTAAAGTTTGGGTTTTGGAATATGAAGGAGAATCTTGAAAAAATCTAGTTATGAGATAGGTTAATGGTTACTTAAAGGGACTGTAAGCGTATTTTCGAGTGGCCCTCTATGCACAGATGGCAATGCCCGATTTACAACGGTAACCTTAAAACCTTTGATAAACTTTGTGGAAGATATTGTCGTTTTTCTAGGTTTGAAAGTTTTATATTGTTGATTCTTTTCCTGTGCCAGTCACTTTTATAAAGAACCCAAAATTTTAAAAGAGCAGGTTTCAAAATTATTAAACAGTGATATCTTATTCGTACCGTTCACTGATATCTTATTCGTACCGTTCACTGATATTTAGACAACTCTGATAGTTAGTCATCAAGTTTTTAGACAGCTTCCACTTTAAAGTCTCACAACGCCTTGGTCTTTCGTTTTACCTCACCAACTCACTTATATTCTTTTGAAGCCCAAGACATATTCATTTTAAAATTGCAAAGTGCTTGTTTCTAGCCTAAAAGAAGTTTAAAAGAAGTAATTGGCAAAATACTGTTTTTTGTGTGCGAGAAAGACCATCTAAGTTTGCAGTGCTTTGAGAACCAGGAATTGTCATCTATGCTTTGAGGGTCACTTGAAATAACGCTTTCAGCCCCTTTAGGTTTAACCATTAAAAAGATTCGACCTAATACAGAACTTTATTTTTTAAGTTTTTTCCTCAAAGAAACGTTTTCCTCCCTAACATTGATTTATGAGAAAATTTCAATTGAGAAAAATGTTCCTAAACATCTAATTGGTTCACTGTAGAATTTGTTTTATATTTTTTCGTCGTTGGAACTCCGAAAATTAATGAAACAAAGAATGATGATCTCCACTTCTTGATATCTTCACTATGGTCCAGATAAGAGTTCTACAATTAGTTTCAGAGTAAAAATATGGAGATAAAATCTATAGGAATTCTTCACCAAATGCCATCGGAATCGACTACTTCTCAGTTCTCAGAATCTCTTTAATCTTCATTTCAAAAATTTCAGTCGAAAAACATGGTTAAATATTGTGTGCATGGTTTCCTGTTATAAACTAGCTGAACCTTCCCCTTCTCCTTCTCATGAACTGAATTTATTCCTATTTTATTTTTTATTTCTAAACATACTCGAGGATTCCAGTAGTTTACTGTATACTGCAGGGACCTCAGCTCACAAACCTTAGAATAAAAAGTTGATGTTGGGATGTTATGTTTCTTAATTGTTACAAGGGATAATAAAGCAACATAACATCCCGCTAAAATATAATTTATGAATAATTTGGCTTGAGAAAAAAACATCCAAATACCCATTACTCCCGAGTGACCCGAGTTTCCAGGGTGAAGTAAGCCCGCAAATAATTTTAAAGAAAATGCATTAAAAATTTCAGACAAAACAAATAGTACATAAATAAATAAAAAATTAGAGGTGAGACGGAGAACTTTTAACTAAGATGGAGTTTTTTTGTAAAAAGATATTAGTGTGAGATACAACTTGAGTAAATCAGCGATCTCTTAGAGGGGGAGGTGGTATTTTTTAGAAATTATTTTTTATGATGGGGGGAGGGTAATGAAAAATTGGACATCAAAATGTAAGTTTTTTTCATACTTTTTACCGGAAAATTTATTTTTTCCTGAATTGAGCGAATAAATCCCTTAGAAACTAAACATAAAAAAAATTATTTTCAACAAAAAGGGAGGGGGGTTATGATTTTTCGAGAAAATATACACTTCTGATCTCTCATTAGCTAAATCTCAATGAGAAATAGGTTTATCTCCTGAGGTTGAAGTTTTTTTTAAATTTTAAGGTTATTTAACTTTCTGAATATATAACACCCTGTCCCTGTCCGGCGCTGAGGAAATAACTTTCATTCATAAGTTCCAAGCTCTAATTTTTTACCTGAATTCTCGCTTTAAATTTTCCGTTTACAAGTTTCTCAATATTTTCCACCATTTTTACAGGACTCGCTTTGCTCGTATCAAACACAGCCGCGGCACTACTCAATTCTAAGCAAAAAGGCGTGTATTTGAAGACATGTGTATATATTAATATTGAAATAATTTTTTATTTTTCAACATTTCTCAAGCATTAAAATAATTCTAAACGAAAAGTTCGATCCAACACGGAACTAAAAACATTAGATAAAATTATCCTAAATTCAATAATTTTGTATCATGTAATACTTTCAGCGAGTGAAGCTATCAATTAATTCAAATAAACATTAAAGCATTCTTTGATATATAAAAATGGAGATATCTTCCGTTTCTGTGTGCAGTAAAACAAATTAATTGTTTTCTTTCCCGCTTTTATAGCAAAGGTATGGCCGAATATTTTCATAGAAACAACAACAAGGATAATACCATCATCGATACTGTGATAAAGAATCTAAAGGGTGGTAAATGACTCTCTAATGATTGATTGATTGACATTTTAAGACCCTACCTTTTGAAACTTTAACCTGCTCCACCCCAACCATTTCGCTCAGGCATTCAGTTATCAAACTGAATATTAAAAAATTGTAAAAATCTAAGATTATGTTCAAAAATAATTAAACATTTGGAAATATTTTCAACTTGCTTTATCAAATTATGGCAAGCTCAAAAATACAAAATAAAGCTAATCCAATAACTGAACATTAAATTCAAAATTAAATCAAGATAAAATTTGTGAAAAGTATTTTTACCGAACGCATTTATCACATGTAATTCCTTGAATCTTAAACACAACTTCATCACGTAACCCAGAATCAACCACTATCTCATTCATCTCCATTTTTATCTGAAAATATTAACAAAATATTGTTTTCACCTGGTTCCAATTTAACAGCTAGATTGAAAATGAAATATGAGAGCAAGAAAAATATTTTATAATATCTAGTTAAAAATCAAATAATCATGTTTTATTGGTTTTATCGACTTAGAAATTCAGTTGATTTTCACTGCCTTCATTCATTTAGATATAAAATAAAAACATCTTTCAGAAAATCTTTTTTTTAATTACGATTTCTTATCTTTTCTTTAATATATCCAAATTTTATTTTTTTACAGAGCGTTTCACATCGTATTGGATTATCTCCAAGATTTAACGTTGAAATATGAACATAATTCTCGAAAACGATAGTGCTTTCTGCATGCAAATACAATTTATATCAATGAATCATTCTTTGATCCTGTTCCGAAATGATATGGGCGATCCAGTATAAAATTTTTTCTTTGATTAAGTATTTGAAAATAAAGAAAGAAAATAACGCACTGAGCGTTAAATTTGTTCCACTGCTTACAAAAAAAGTCTGTTAATGTTATTCAAAATGGACAAACGATAAAAAAGCTTCTTCAGCAGCTACCTGCAGCTAAATGTGATCAAGTTTAGAACATTCGTTTCTGATGTTTGGTAAGCGAATGAAACTGAATAATGTATTGTCAAAGAATAAATAAAGCGAGAACATGCATTTACTCTTTACCATTGCAAGCTTCTAACCATTCCACATAATTTATTAAAGCATTCTATAACAGATAAAAGGGACTACACAGTGTACATAGAGCGGACTTAAATAAAATTAGGAAAAATTGGTAAAATTATTATTTCTCTCAGATTTCTGTTGAGAAAAATGTCTTAAAACGAGTACCGTGCACCACTTCAGATTTCCCCCCAAAAAATTACTAATTTGGGTTTCTCTTAAAATCATATTGAAACGACATATTTTTTTTCTTGCGAAAAATATATATATATATATATATACACATAGATAAAATTATTTTTAAATTACATAAAACAGATCAAATAAGTATATAAAATATCTCATTCTCAGTGAATGATTAATCATTACTGGCTGTTTTATGAAAAAATGTTTTCAGTAAAAATTGTTTGAATAGGAACACTTGTTTGGAATGTGAACAAATCAAACACGCCCTTATAATCTCATTACTCCTAGGTAAGTAAAAACAGACATTTTTCAATATGATAAACATTAACTGATCTAAATAAAGTATAGAAAAAATGTGTCTTTAAATCTTTCAGAGAAAAATTAATTTGTCTAAATTAAAATCCACGATAAACTTAAAGCTGTCAAAATCAAATCAACATTTCTCTTCCAACCCCTCCATAAAGTAAAATAAAAAGAAAAAGTAAAAGAAAAAAATCAACATTTTGTGAATTTTTTAAAAACATTTTAGGGATAATGGAGAAACCCAGTGCAAAGTTTTAGTATTTTTATAATCATGACCTTCTCACTAAAAACTCTACACTTCAATGATTTAGATTGCATGCAATTGCACCTGAAAATTTGACATTAAAATGTTTTAAAAATGAACAAAATGGCATTTATGTACAATTAAAAAAACGTATCAAGTGTACTAAGAGTATAATAAAAAAAGTCTAAAAATATTTGACTTTTAAGTAAAAGATCAGCTTAATTTAAGAACCACATCAATTTAGTTATGTAACTAAAAAGTCTGGTGTTTACCCTTGCCAGTAAACAGTTTGGTATTAACACATGTTAATAATAGAATGATATTTAGCCCCTTATATTGTTTGGTATTTACTCCTTTCAGTAAATAGTTTGGTATTAACCCATGTCAATCAAAGAATGATCTTTACTCCCTTTCCGTATATTGTTTGGTATTTACCCCTGTCAGTAAATAGATTGGTATTTACCCCTGTTAGTAAACAGTTTGGTATTTCATCCTTTCAGTAAATCGTTTCGTATTTACCCCCTATCAGTGAATAGTTTGGTATTTATCCATGCCAGTGAACAGTTTGGTATTCATCCCTTTGAGTAAATAGTTTGGTATTTACCCTTGTCAGTAAATAGTATGGTATTTACCCGTCAGTAAACATTTTGGTTAAATTTGGACTGTAGTCCTTTTGAACTGGCATTAGTCCAAATAATCATTCGTTTAGTTGATCGTTAGTCCTATTGAAAAGACAACAAATAATCGGTTAAAGATCTAAAATTAAAATACAGCTTGGTGAAAGCTAAGTTTTAAAAAACAAAAAATTGTCAAGTCATCATTCTTTTGTTGTCAGGGCAAGCCTGTAAAACATGTCAAAATACAGTTTAAAGGTGAAATAAATCACAAAATAAAAATAAAAACCATGGCTTTTTTAAATATCTAAATTCAAGTGTTCACCTTGAAATCCTGTCCCAGTTGGTTTATTTTTATCTTAAATAGACGATAAAATCCTAAATGGGTAATTTTTTCGGGCTTGGGAAACAGCCTGGTCTGCATGATGAGATTTCCAACATGCAGCCTGATCCAGGTCGTTTTTACCAGTATTTGATCCTAACCGGCACCCTCCCGGCCTCCCCCACCCTACCCTGAGCCTCACATCTCATTATCTAATGCGAGGGAGCAGACATTTCGGGTTACTCGTTTTTAATACTTGGCCACTTAGATGACAAATAAGGCTCTAGGTTATAAATAAATAGGTTGGGTAAATAAATATCTATATTCAAGTGTTCATGTTTTATCTTATGAAAGTCGGGTTAAGAGAAGGGTTGAATTTTAAAAAGGAACTCATTCTCAAGAAAATTCTTTTCATTACTTATTTATATATATAAACATGTATTACAAGTTCCTCAGGATCGTAAATATCAATAATAAATGTTCAACAGGAGTATATGATTTTTAGAATTACGTACCCCGGGGCCGCGGTTGGGGGGGGGGGGGAGAGGGGTGAAATGATTTTTGTTGATCTGGAGGAAGAAAAATGAAAGATTGTACATCAAAATCAAAAGGCAAACAAACTTTATCATTATATTTTGATATTTTTAAGTTTTACCAAACACTTTTTTATTTCTCCTGAAAGAACCATTTACTAAGGAAAACAAAGATTATCTAAAGGGGAAATGATTTTAACAGAATATACACCCCTGATGATCATTCCTGAAACAACCTGGCTTTTTATAACATTATCAATATTGAATTTCATGTGCCTTGATAAATTAAGTCCATGGCGAGTTTTATACGCAGATTATACCAAATACCTTCATAAATAACGCTTTTATTAATTTAATAAATGTACGAACATCTTATCTTATAAACCCATATTACTAGTTCGCAATTTTTGATTGAATGGGGTGGAGGTTTCAGAAAGCGTACTCTAGGACAGACCCTAAAGTTAAATGATATTAATTAGTTTAACTTTCTGTCCTATGGTCGAATTTGACTCGATGTTTAGTACAAAGTTACCCACTAAGGATGAGACTGCAAAGATTACCTAAAGCCCTTAAAGTATGACGATCCAAAGGTTAAAATAAGTCTTCTGCCCGAAATATGGATTTCTATTAGTTAATTCAATTATTTGACAAAGAATCAAAAAAGATTATAGAGTTGCAACTTGCAGGGATTCATAAATAAATGTTTCGTCCTAACACGCTTCTTGCCTCCCCCCCCCCCCCTCTTATCAATTTAGTACATGACCACTACTTTTTCTGTAAAATAGTTATTATTAATTTTGTATTATTTTAGGGTTAGGTTAGGTTCAGACAAATTCTGGGACGAGTGCTGAGGCCAGGACAGGCTAGAGGACTGCAGCCGGACCCCATGACGAATTATATCCATATGTTACATTTGAGATCCATTAAAAAATTGATAGGAGGTGGGGAGTCCGGGGGTGTCCAAAAATCGTATACTAGGAAATTACCTAAAGATAATTAAGTAAAATTAAAAACAGTATAAACGTACTGTATAAACTCTGTATCCAGTCGTCGCTGAAGTCTTCTTTTTAGGGTAACCCTGTAGTTAAAAAATTTAAGAGATATACAATTAACATTAATAAATGTTCGTCCTATTCATAAGATTACTTTGAAGTTACAAATTTCTGTGTTTCTCTTTTATGTTTCAAGTTTTCAACAGTTTGCAAAAATAAGCGCAAAACTAAAATATTGCCGCGGAATATTTTAGAAGTTTGTCAAAGTCGTCTTATTCAAAGATTCCAGTAAAAAAAAATCCGACTTTTTGGAATTAAAAAAATCTTTCGCTCAATCATAATATGCTGGGTTCTGGGAATATATGTTTTTTTTTTGCAGCAACGAGAATATTTCACCCTGTTTTCATCTTTATTCATAAATTACCGAAAACCTGAAAACTAATGTCGTCTTATTATATAAGAAAATACCTGAACTGCAGCTGAGCCCGTTCTCTCTATAGATAGATGGTCGTGTGGTTTACGTACTTCCGGGGACCATATGTTGGCCGCTAGATGTATCATGCTAAATTCTTATCTAATAGATAGATAATTTCTCCGTACACTTGACGACCAATTTTTAGCCACATCAATAATTGTCGACCAATGTAGTTTATGGAAGGAACGGCCTCTGATAGGCCTGAGCCCGTTCTCTCTATATAGTGGTCGTGAAGTTCGCATAGTTTGGGGGACGATCTAGTTTGGCCGCTAGATTTCTCTCGTATGAATTATCTATCATGGATAAGAATATTGCGTGATACATATCTAGCGGCCAAACTATTGTCCCCTAAAGTTCATGAATTCTTTACGACCACATGTTTAAACATTAAATTATGGAGAGAACGGCCTCTGAGAACAGGTTTAATTTAGCTGTAACTAAAGTGTGTCACTGTAAAGCCGCATTCAGAACTGTTTAGAGACTCCCGTAGATGGTAAATGAATTTAGGTTAGTTGTGTAATCATATTTATATACTATATAATATTTTTGTATTTAATGTATGAATAATTTAATTGTACCCAGTGATATATATATTGATGTATACAATTAAATGGTCGCGTGGTTTAATTTTGGTTTTATCCGCGAGATTGAAGTTTGCAGCAGCATGTATTGGGTCCTCACGCTGGAGCGGAGGCCTGCTCCGGCCTTAAGGAAATGGGTGGATTCTCATTTGAACTACTGCCGTTTGAACTATGGTACATTTGAACTATTGTTCGTTTGAACTATTGTTCATTTGAACTACTGACATGACGTCATATCCTGTAGTTTAAATCAACACATTTCTTGCTCATTTGAACTATTTTTCTACCCCAATTCAGTTATAACATTTTTTTTTATAATTCCCATAAAGTTATAGTTCGACGACAATTAAAATAGTTTAATTAATTAATTAATTAATAGTGGTACCACGTGCAGTAGTTGAAATGAACAATAGTTCAAACGGGAGTAGTTCAAATGAGATAGCATTGGAAATTGTTTTCAGAGGAGCGGAAGGAATTCACAATTGTGATTTAATACTAATTATCCTAAGGGATGGTATTAATACTCAGCAGGCGCGCAACTAGGGGGGGGGCAAGCGGGGCAAGGCCCCCCTATAGCCTGATTAATTGAATTGGCTTGCGCGCCCCCTGCAGGAAGGGGGGGTGGCCAGAAGTCAACCCTGTTTTGAAATTTAGCGATTCATGAATCCTGACCCTGAGCAAATTTAAGTGTTCTGATCTGCAAATTTTTTTCCCGCTTGCTTCCAGCCCCCATAACAAAATGTCTAGTAGAATGCCTCATCAGAACATTAAAAACTATATGGGAGGGATGTACATTAGCACCCAGGACAATTATTACTCCATCGGAGGGAAAGTAATTAACACATAGGACACTAATTAATCAATTGGAGGCTCTATGGTAATTAACACACAGGACACTAATTATTCCATTGGATGGATGGTAATTAACACACAGGACACTAATTAATCCACCAGAGGGATGGTAATTAACACTCAGGACACTTAATTACTCCATCAGAGGCATGGTAATGAACACTCTGGACACTACTTACTCCATCAAAGAGATGATAGTTAACGCTCAGGACAATAATTCCCAGCTAGCAAAATAACCGATTTCGGTTATACCGCCTCGTATATAGACAGGCTTCGCCAGAGTTGGGCGGAGCCCCGATCATCATGTCCGATATAGGTCCTGGCGGTATAGTAAACGGCACCCACCCAGATCTGTCGTACATACGATGTAGTATATACTACAGCGCAGATATGATCTCCCACATCTGAACACTTTGATGCCGGTACCATGTAGTATATACTAAATCGAATTCTTTCTCACCGATGTCTACATTCTACATCGGGGACATTTACACCGATGTCTACATTCTACATCTACATCTACATTCTTTACGACAGCGAAAACATGGATTATATACTACGGCGGTATATTGACCGCTTCACCGTCGCACCTACGACAAAGGGACTACAGCGGGGATATATGGAGTATATACTATGGAGGTGCATAATTTCTCCGCCCTCGCACCTACGACAGAGGAGATATTTTAGAAATATGGAGTATATACCATGGAGGTAAGTAATAACTCCGCCCTCGTACTTTCGACAGAGTATCTACGGCGGAGATAGATGGAGTATATACTATGGTGGTACGTAATTACTTCGCCATAGCACCTACGATAGAGGAGATATATCAGAAATATGGAGTATATACTATGGAGTACGTAATTACTCCGCCCTTGGACCTTCGACAGAGTATCTACGGCGGAGATATATTTGGAGTATATACTATGGTGGTACATAATTACTTCGCCATCGCACCTACGAAAGAGGAGATATAGCGGAAATCTGGAGTATATACTATGGCGGTGTAGTAATTTCTTCGCCATAGCACTTACTATGGAGGGGACATGGAGTACATACTATGGAGGTATAGAAACCTCTCCGCTATTGCACATACGACATGGCGGAGACCAAAACACGGCGGAGATCCAATGTTAGCTGGGTTACTTCATCGGAGGGATGGTAATTAACACTTAGGACACTAATTACTCCATGTGAGGGATGGTAATTAACACTCAGGACACTAATTAATCCATTGGAGGGATGGTCATTAACACTCAGGAGACTAATTACTCTATAGGAGGGAAGGTAATTAACACACAGGACACTAATTAATTCATCGGAGGGATAGTAATTGACACTCAGAACACTAATTATTCCATTGGAGGTATGTTAATTAACACACAGGACATTAATAAATCCATCGGAGGGATGGTGACTAACACTTGACCCAAGTAACAAAAGTGAGGAATTTCCCCAGATTCTCCAACTGTGGTGACTTTCTTTGAAGAATTTCTGAGGAATTTCTCGAGAATCATTTCCTGTAACTGATTCCTCAGAAATACTCAAGAAATTCCCCAGAATTGGTCCCCAAGGTTAGACATTTTTTTGGGATCACAGTTTTGAGACTCAGTTTCAAGAAATTTCTGAGAAATTCTTTGGACTTGGTCACCATGTTTACGATTTTTAGGGGAATTTATTATGAAAATTAATTTCGAGAAATTCCTGGGAATTTCTCTGGAATTTCACCCCAAGAAAATCCTGAGAATTTCTCCTGAATGCTTTTCCGGAAATTCCTAAGAAATTCTTAGGACTTGGTCCCCAAGTTTACGGATTTTTAGGGGAATAAAATAGAGAATAGGTTTCGAGAAATTCCTGAGAATTTCTCTGGAATTTTTCTCATTAAATTCCTAAGAATTTCTCCGAAATACTTCTCCGGAAATTTCTGAGAAATTCTTAGGACTTGGTCACCACGTTTACGGATTTTAAGGGGAATTTATTAAGAGAATTAGTTTAGAGAAATTCCTGGGAATTTCTCCGGAATTTTACCCCAAGAAATTCCTGAGAAATTTTCCTGAATGCTTATCCGGAAATTCCTGAGAAATTCTTAGGACTTGGTCACCAAGTTTATGGATTTTTAGGGGAATTAAACAAGTCAAATTGACATCTTTTTAGAGTGTATAGTAACGTCATTTTGACATCACAAAAAGACATTTTAATGTCAATAGGACGTCATTTTATGACTTGAGATTGTGGCATATTTAAAAATTTATTTTTTAAACTGAGGAGCAATAAAGAAAGCTTTAAGAATATTGTACATGATAGATCCATTAACAGAGGTCAATATGGTCTTATTTCTAAGAAATAGACGGTTTAATGTTAACTTTTTTATTTCTTAAATTACTAATTGAGGAGCGCACATGCTGCAAAACATGTTTGGGTGGCGTTTGTTTACTTCTGCACTCCCCCCTCGCCCGGCCCTGGTTCTGAGCTAAGCCTTATATATATAAAGCATGGGAAAATGAAAGAATCTTTTATCAAAATAACTCTCCTAATAGCATAATGTGCATTGTGCATACAAATTAAAAAGATCATTGACAACAGTTTTTTTTCAGAAAATGAAGATCAGAAAACTGGAGAAACAGAAAATATCTTGTGATTTGTGTGGAATAAAACTCAAAAGCATTGATATTCTTGATGAACACACAAGAATTCACGGGGAAGGGCCTCTTCTAAAATGTGCAGAATGTGTTCTAACGTTTACATGTAAGTCTTATTTGAAAGGACATATGATTATCCATACTAGAAGAAGTACATCTGTTTTTAAATGTATTGTATGTGACAAAGTTTTTACTGCCAACCATGACTTAAAGAGACACATGAGATTTCATACTGGTGAAAAACAATTTAAATGTAACTTATGTGACAAATCATTTGCCCAGAGAGTACATTTAACAGAGCACACAAGAATTCATACCGGCGAAAGACCTTACAATTGCAGTATTTGTGAAAAGAAGTTTTCCCGGAAAAGTCATGTAACTGTGCACATGAAATCCCATATAGATGACACTCCCTACAGTTGTAATGTATGTGAGAAAACCTTTAAATTCAAACATCAAGTAGGACTGCACATGAAAACGCACACAGGTGAAAAGCCACACAAATGCTCTGTATGTAATAAAGGATTTTTCATGAAAGCATACCTAAAAAGACACATGATCATTCATACAGGAGAAACCCCTTTTAAATGTAAAAAGTGTGGATTAGGCTTTTCTTACAGGAATGCCCTTAAAAGACATATAATGAAACATGAAGAAGAAACTTGTGAAACAGGGAATAAAATAATTGTTGATACAGCAAAGATGGATGTAATAAGCAAGTCCAGGATTGGACAGTTTAAAAAAATAAAATCCAGGAAAGTGTCAAAACTTCGAAGTTCTCGAATTAATCAATCGCCTGATTCTGAATTGGGAACAAGAACAAGAACAAGGAACAAATCTGAACCAGAACAGGAATTAGATTCTGAATCTGGACTTGAAGAAGTATCTGAACCCAATGCTGAACTTGAATCTGAATACGATCTTCAGCCTGAATCTGAAGCAGAATTTAAATCAAAATTTGAATCTGAATCTGAATCTAACTTGGTTCTTCAATCTTCATCTGATTCTGAAGAAATAAGTGATGCGAAAACTGAAATGGAAAATCTGGAAACTGAATCAGTACATGAATCTAAACAGTTTAAATTGGAATCAGAATCAGATTCAAAACCGAAATCAGAATCAGAACTGGAACCGGAATCGGAACTGGAACCTGAACCTATGTCTGAATCAGAGTTGGAATCCGAATCTGAATCTGATTCTGAATCTGAATCTGATTCTGAACCTGAACCTGAACCTGAACCTGAACCTAAATCTGTTTCTGAAGCTGAAGCTGTATCTGAATCTGAATCTGAATCTGAATCTGAATCTGAATCTGAATCTGAATCTGAATCTGAATCTGAATCTGAATCTAAGCCTGAACCTGAACCTGAACCTGAACCTGAACCTGGACCTGAACCTGAACCTGAACCTGACTCTGAATTGGAATCAGAACCAGAAATCGTGATAGATAACGAGGGCAGAAAATGGAGTAGATTATTATCAAATGTTTCAGTTCAAGAGGCAGCGGATTATTTTGAAAAAAAATTTGGAAAATGACATTTAAAACATGTTTTGCTTTAAATGGAATAAAAAATATTAAATTTTATTGTAATTATATCATGGTGTCCTCACGCCTCAGTCTAAACTACAGAAATTACAGATTTTTCTAATAATATGTTAATCACAAAATTATATAAAAATAAATAAAATAAAAATTATAATTTGACAATCTAAGGTCTTATAAACGACATTGGTTTTCAAACGTAAAGGTAAAATCATCCTTGACTTTGATTGAAAAGGAGTGTTCGCGAAAAATGAATGGGGTACAAGCTTACGTCGAAAAATATTTGAGCGGCCAAATAATCACCTCTTTTAAAGTATATTTTAAATGAAATGAGTAAAAAATATTATTAAATATTAACTATTTACGAATGCATCGAAAAAAATCGATGATTATTGGTTGTAATATCTGAATGATTTGTTTGGAATTAAATTGATTTTTTTTACGATACAAGTTGAATGAGTTGAATACTGCAACTCTCTGAATTTGTATGGACTCTACCTACTTCAGTATGAGTCGTTTTTAACAATTTTCTCCTTATAGATTAAACAGATAAAAGTAAGATTAGTAGCAATTACCATTGAATATTTTTCTATTTTTAGCGAACACTCCCTTTAAGAATTTTATCATTTTCTGAAACTGATTTCTAATTCTTCCGTTTCTTAATCACTTTCTTCTCATGTACTCTTTTTCTGAGCTCTTACTACAATTTTTTTCTTTTCATATAACACTTTTTTCCAAATCCCCTCATCTGCATCATTCATTCATTATCATCATCCTAATTCTGCTCCTCATCATCATCATCATCATTATCATTATCATCGTCCTAATCCTGCTCCTCATCATCATTATCCTTATCATCATCCTACTCTTCATTCTAATATATATATTTGGTCAAAAATGGTCAAATCTTAGGCCGATGGTTATAGCTTTTATCTAAAATGATTAAATTTTTGGTCGAATTTTGCTCAACCAAAGTTATTCGTTTGTTTAGAAAATAAGTTCAAAAAATGGATTTATCTTTAATCAAAACCGGTTATATATATGTATGATTAAAAAATGATTATATTTCTAGTCGAAAATGTATATATTTTTGGTCAAAATGGTAAATGTTTTGGTAGAAAATGTTTATATTTTTGGTTAAAAAGCATGGTTATACATTTGATCGAACATGGTTACATGTTTAGTCGAAAATGATTATATTTTTGGATTAAAGATCTGGGGGTATACTTTGGTCAAAATGTTTATTTTTTAGTTGAAATTGTTTATAGCTTTGGTCGAAAATGTTTATACTTTTGGTTAAAAAGCATGGTTTTACATTTGATCGAACATGGTTACATGTTTAGTCGAAAATGATTATATTTTTGGATTAAAGATCTGGGGGTATACTTTGGTCAAAATGTTTATTTTTTAGTTGAAATTGTTTATAGTTTTGGTCGAAAATGGTTATATTTTTGGTTTGTTAAATTCATGTGTCAGCTAATAATTGAACAGAAAATGTAAATATATTTTGTCGAAAATGGTTTTATTTTTGGTCAAAAAGTGTATATGTTTGGTTAAAGAAATGTTTTTATGCTCAATATATTATTGATTAAAAATGGTTATATTTTTAATCTAAACATGCATATATTTTTTTAATCGGAAATGGTTAAATTCTTGGTCGAAAATGGTTATATTTTTTGTGAAAATGGTCCTGCTTTTTGGAGAAATTGGATTCTGATTTGATGAAAAGAATAATTATTCGCTCAATAATTAACGTTCATTTCATTCCTTAACTTAACATATAATAGAATGTGACTTTAAAATGAAGTTATTGTACACAGGCTTGGTTTTACATCTAAGCCATTAACATTTAAACTCCCGTTAGCAAATGAAATAATCATAAAAGTAGGAAATTAACTATATTGTTTTATACTTTAAACTTGTAAAATCATTTATAGGACAAGATAATATCCTGTTAAAAATATAAAGCTTAAATTAATTGTGATTTCGCCACTTGCAAATAAATCAATAAAGGACAAACTGAATTTTTTTTATCTTTAAAAGATCGAATTCGAATTAAAGCGACGATTCCTTCTTTTTACTGTTTTTCAAAAATAGTTGTTTAAAATATCGTTATTATTAATAGAATCTCTCTGATTAGAAGTTCACTTGAAATGTCGTCTCCCATGGTCCCTTTGGATTAAACAACCGTAATGTATTTATTAATCTAACAGTAATGCTAGCATATATTCGTTTCGAAAAAAAGAAAAATATATTATTCAATTATGAAAGTCTAAATAAACATATGTGTTTTTTTACTTTCTGGCTATTGTGTAAATATAAAAAATATTTATTAATAAGCTTATGTGTAATTTAGATCTCCACATAATGCAACATATTTATCTATGTAGATATAGAAAGGGCCCGGCTTTGCCCGTGGAAAAAAACTAAAAGAAATTGAAAAAAAAACTAGAAAAAAAATTTTAATGTTTTTAGCCTATAACTCATGAGTGTCCACAAAAAATTTCAGTCCAGCCGGCTATACGCAACATATATATACTAATGTCTTGTTTGAGTTGTGAAAAGATTTTGACTACCATAAGGTGTGAACCAATGGGTTTAGTACAATTCTTTTTAGATAAAATGTGAAGTAAACTGAGATAGTTAATAGATATACTTATGTAGAAAATGCCTAAACTCCTCCTTAGTCCTTATCAAGGGAGTGGTCGCGAAAAATGGAAGATGGGAGTTTTTTCTTCTCTTTTTAGACACTATTGAGGTTTCATACTTAAAGATTAACAGGTAAAGAGCTATTTCTTCATAATTTTAGTTAAATAAAGTTTCCTTGATTAACTTTTTTTCTTTTAGGTTATAATTAACTAAAATGTCAAATATAGCCATAAGAATGTAAATCCTTTCTTAAATTTATATATATACTTATATAATAAATGGAAGAGAAATTAAAAAAGTGATAATAACAAAAGAAAAGGAGATATATTTTTCCTATCTTGTGGATAACGAAGGGTTTATTTAATTAAATTGTGTGAAAGCTTGGCATCCGGGGCACTTTAATTTTTTTTTGACAAAAGTGTATATTTGAAAAAAAATTAAACGTATTTGGCAGAAATGATCATTTTTTAAAGTTTTTACCGTTAACCACGTGATTAAATTATGGGTGCAACTCAGGATTGTTTATTAATGGTCATTTATTAATTGAAGAGATCATAGTTAAAGGACGGAAATCTTATTCTTTTGATTTGAAGAAATCATAGTTAAAGGATGGAAATCTTATTCTTTTGATTTGAAGAGATCATAGTTAAAGGATGGAAATCTTATTCTTTTGATTTGAAGAATAGATAGTTAAAGGATGGAAATCTTATTCTTTTGATTTGAAAAGATCATAGTTAAAAGACGGAAATAAGGTCTTGTGTTAAGCACAAAATAAACGAAGAGAAGAAAACTAGTTTAGTCGGCAAACAGAAATTATATATATTGTAAAATTTAATAAAATTAGTGAAGTTAGAATCAGTTTATAGAGAAACTATGAAGGTCAGTAGTTTTGTGTAAATTAAGAGCTTCTTTAAAGTGTTTGCTTCAGACATAAAACTTGGTATTCAGGGTTTCCGAATAAAAATATTTTAATAGTCAGGGTCCGGGTATCCCAATAAACGTAACTTAATATTCAGGGTGTCCCAATTAACGTAACTTAATAGTCGATCAGGGTGTCCCAATTAACATAAATTGATATTCAGGGTGTCCCAATAAACATAAATTGATATTCAGGGTGTCCCAATAAACATAACTTTATATCTGAGTGTCCCAATAAACATAACGTAAGAGTCAGGGTGTCCCAATAATCCTTGATATTCAGGGTGTCACAATAAACATAACATTAATATTTAGAGTGTCCCAATAAAAATAACTTAAGAGTCAGGGTGTCCCAATAAACATAACTTGATGTTCAGGGTGTCCTTATAAACAAAACTTGATATTCAGTGTGTCCTAATTAACATAACTTAAAAGTCATGATGTCTCAATAAGCATAATTTAATAGTCATGGTGTCCCAATAGGCATAACTTGATATTTATGGTGTCCCGATAACCATAACTTAATATTCAGGGTGTCCCAATAACATAACTTTATATTCAGGGTGTCCCAATAAACATAACTTTATATAGGGTTAGGTTAAGTTAAGACACTTCCTGTCAGACCCATGTACAAAATTGATAGGAGGGGGGCACGGGGGGGCCCTAGGAATATACCTTAAAACATTCAATGCACGTGGATAGATTATTCTTTTTTGGAGAATACTTTTAAGTTACCAGCTCTGAGCTGGGAACTTTTGAATGGTGGATATCCAGATTAATGCTTGATCTTCTCTTTTTCTTAATCTCGAGATTAAATAATGCTTGTTCTCCTCTTTTTATTTTTTATCCTCTTTTTAAGTTACCAGCTCTGAGCTGGGAACTTTTGAATGGTGGATATCCAGATTAATGCTTGATCTCCTCTTTTTCTTAATCTCGAGATTAAATAATGCTTGTTCTCCTCTTTTTATTGATCTCCAGATTAATTAACCAATCGGGATTAAGAATATCCCATCCTAAAGTTCCTGCAGCTCTGGTTACATAGGATATATATGAAATAGGGTTGTATATTACATTTATACATAATTATGTGTTCGAAATAGCTGGCCAAACGGCTGGACCAAGTAGTAGAAAATTACAATATTCGATATGTGGCGGTTATGAAAGTCGTCCTTCTTGGAGAATTCTC